AAAAAAAAGAAAAAATCTCCCCGGCTAACCGCGTCGCACCGTGCTACACAGGCTCGTCGGCACCGCCTCCGGCAAGGGCTCTCCCTACAGCATCACCTGCGCCCTCGAGTTCGGCACCAAGGAGGAATTCGACAACGCCCTCAAGGCCGGCGCCGAGCCCGTCATGGCCGACATCCCCAACTTCAGCAACAAGGACCCCATCTTCCTCGTCGGCGAGCAGGTCGGCGCGAGCTCGTAATTTTTTATTATTTTCGGCCCGCGCTGTCGTCCCTGCGCAAATTGCACCTTGGTTATGGCGCCCTTGGAGTTTGGGAGATGCGCTGAGCGAAAATTGCCGCGCGCTGTTCGGAGCTGTTGGCCCATACTACGTGTTGGGAGTCGGTCACGCTGCGTTACCTTGCTGCTGTGGTCCGGTTTATGTCGGTATCAATGTTAGTATTGCGACCCTTGTTGCGTGCCGCTTTTGTGATACGAATTGCTTTCCAACAAACCTGCGTTTTGGCACTCTTGCTTTTCGATTCTTTGCTTTGCTTAAATTGTTCTGTATCTGGGCATTTTTTGCATTCTTGATATTGCCAATGCTCAATGTTCATTCGCAGTCATTTTGAATTTGTTGGCTGTCCAGCTCAGTTTGCGGCATTCATTAAATCACGAAGGCCACTGAAAATTACTTGTTTAGTCGCTCTGTTCGATACCTCATCATAGTCCGGGTCATTTATTTTCTCGCATTTCTGAAATTGCCGACCGGCCTGAAAATAGCTGGAAGACTGACCGAGTGTCATTTCTTGTATCTATGGTTTGCAATCAGAACTACTTGATTGTACCTCGGCACAATCCCCTTTATACATAACCACGGCCATTTATTCTTCTTATTCCTTTAATTTCTACGCTTTCGGCATGAATAGTGTTTCGTAAAGCCAAGAAGTCGACAGACACATCACCGCCGGATTAGAGAAGGCCTCATTAATTTCCACAAAGCTATAGTTCAACAGCATAGGAGCGATGAAAACAACTTTTTGGAAAGGGAATAGCTGCGGTGCATTTACGGTGAGTGCTCACGTATCTTGCGTAAGGTAGCTTGCTCTGGGAATCAACCGCTTTCTTGATCGGAATCGAATCTATAAGCATAACATCCCTAATCGTCAAGCGAGATTCACCACCTTACGAGATGGTATCACTTATACGGAGTAAAAACGAAATCTAGTTACGATGTTTATAGTATGTGTATACTCTAAATCCCTCTTACTTATATGTATAAATTAGTCTTACAGCTAGATAAGAAGCATTCTATAAGGACTGCTTATATCTTTCCCTATAATGCTAGACGGTGGGTCTCGCTTGACGGTGATAGACGTTAATGTTCTTCACCCATGAGCGGAAGTTCACTGTTCAGCGAAGCTGGCTAATTAGATCACGATTCAGAGCGTATTGCGCTGGCCTCCTCGGCTGGACGAATTAGAATCTGGTTGGCTAACTTCGCAGAAAGTCGTTAAGAGCTAGGAAGATCATGTATCAACACTTGTGGCAAAGGTAGCATTACCGCCAAATAAGAACCCGTACAAATCACTAGCCACCAGGTCAGTAGACGTATTATCTTTCGCAGATGGTTTCGATCGTCCGTAAATCAAAAGGCACCTTCAAGTATACACTACTGACCACGTAGGCTAATAAGAACCAAGATATTCATTATAATCATCCAGATTACGAGCAAAATACTTTCAAGAACACATCCTGAGAAGTATCGAGTTACCGAAACGCCTTCTGTGGAAGCCAAATCTGATGAAGTGTGGATTCTTGAAGGATCGAGACATCATCAACTTACCACAATGCACTTGACAGCCTGGAACAATCAATGTACCTTTTCCAACTATTCGATTCCGGACAATCCCTGCTTTTGAGTTGGACCCTGGATAGTTTGACTACCCCTTCCCGCCTACCAATTTTGGTAGCATACGGCAGAAAAGAAGAAAAGGACTGATCGCACTACAATCATAAATAGAAAGGAGGTAATACAAACATGGGACTCAACTTTAACCACCGCACTGCCGTAAGCTTCGCCCGTGGTTCAACGGCATTGTCCAGGCACGAGAGCAATAAAGTTGAACGCGCAGTGATTGATGGCGCAGCAGCAAGCTCAGCAGAAGATACCGGGGTAAACTAACCTCGTTCACCCATATTCGAATTTCCCCGTTCAAGAATCTGACCAATCAGAGTGTGTCGCGGGCCCTGATCGGGTTATAATTGGCCAGGTTCGCTGAACGACGTTAAGGACAGAATCACTCCAGTTAAGCATCAGGTGTGGTGGTTAAAATTGCCAAAAGGAGTGTCTACTTACCCAAAACTGAATCTCGTTCGTTTTCCACAACTCGAAATATATCGTTCGCTGGCTAAAGAATTGGCCTATGAAGATGGGTAATGGTAGCACAAGGCTGTAATCCGGTTTCGAGTGTGACTTCGCCTCGTCCGCAGCAGCTTACCAACGCTCAGCCTTGGTTCAGCCTTGCCTTTTCAAAAAGAGGCAGACATCGTCAGAATGTTCCACAATTCCTTCATCCCAGTTTTAATGAAGCTTCGATTCTGTCTTCTATTATCTAACCATGTCCTTCGGGTTCTCCACTGGAGACATCATCGCGGTCGGCAAGCTTGTTGCTGATGTCGTGAAGAGCCTCCAAGACTCGGGAGGGGCCAAATCGGATTACCAAGAACTTCTTCGAGAGCTTGAGTGCCTCGAACAAGCTCTCCTCCATCTCGACCGACTTCAAGCTACCAGCGGCACATCTACCCGAGATCTCGACTCGATAAAGCATGCAGCACTGAGTTGTCGGTACCCGCTCGAGGCATTTCTTGCCAAGATGCGGAAATACAATGATACACTGGGCCTTCGGCCCAAGAAAGGGGCTCTTATAAGAACGAATGCAGCCAAGTTGCGATGGTCACTGGGGAAGAAAGAAGAGGTGGCGAAGTTGCAAGCTTACCTGAGCGTGCACTTGGGAACCATCAACGTCCTCCTCAGTGAATATGAGTTGGAGGCCCTTGGTGCGCTCTCACAGAAGACTGAGGGGTTTCACATGCATGTCCGAGCCACGCTTGACGGCGTGCGAAAGGTGGTGGACATCACTGCTGGAAACATAAATGCACAGAGTCGACTCGTGGGGGCCAACAATTCTATGCTTACCACGCTGTACCAATTGGTCTGCGGTGAGCTGTCGACAAGCTTCAAGTCCCTGCTCAACATGGTTTCCACTGTTTGGTAAGAACTTAAACTCCATCCTCGTCGGAGCCATCTAATGCTTGTGGTAGTTTAACCACGCAGCAGATCTACAGTGTCGTCCTTGAAATCAAATCCTCATTGTCAGGCCCGGACACCCGGTGGACATTCTTCCAGGATCCCTACCAGGTCGAGGACGCTCTCGGTTTCACGTTCCCCATTCCCTCTGAATACGACTTCCACCTCATAAACGTGATTATCAAAGCGCGATTCCGAAATGGCCCTGGTTCTGAATATGTACGTCTTGGAATGTATGAACTGCTCCAGACGAGGGACACTAGCCAAGCTATATCTGAAGGAACATTCCTTCGGCCAGGTACAAAAATCAAAATGGCCATAATCATTGAAATGCCATATTTTGGTTGGATGACTGCCACTTGTCTCATACCGAAAAACTTCTCAAGGCGAAACACAGTGGTCCCTGGAAGGGGAAGAATATGGTGCGTGATTCCGGATAGATGATGCAAGTTTGTGCAACTGTTGACTCTTTTCTAGTTTCGAATGCCAGGTCTGTTTTGGTGAAGTGAAAGCGAGGGCAGAAGTCCCTCATGCTCCTAATTCTAAACCACTGCTAGAATGCTGTCTCGACACAGTTGACGCCTACAATGATGTCAGTTATTCGCCAACTGACTTCGCTCCAGTTCTCAAAAATATGGAAGAAAAAATTGCAATGGCGTCTTATCGCATGCTGCGGATTAGGCATGTGACATTTCAAATGAAATGGGTGACCGTACAGGTATGAAGGAATTTTCGGATATCTACCCAGCCTTACTCGCTACATTTAATTGATTGGTGTATTCATTAGGTCACAAAGCTAACTAAAAAGCGTCAATCGAAAATTCTTATGACTAGACCTTTGGCCCGTCGAATTATGAGTCCATAAATATCAGTAGGACAGTCTACAATGGTCGCAGTGCTGAACGGATAATGTTTCGTTGGTTGGACAGTGTGAATTCGGCAATATCGATTAAATGTTACAACTCTATAAATCTACTGGTGCCACGGCAAAAAGAATCTCGAGCTCTAAATAGCTGGTAATAACCTCTATTATAATAAAGTAAGATTGACCGTCTAGCGAGATAGGACTGATATAAGCAGTCCCCATAGGTACTCCTTATCCAAATGTAAGCCTAAGTCCAAGCTATAAGTGAATAGGTCTTAGAGGATATATACTATAAACATTCTAATAAAGCTTTGATTACACTCCGTATAAGCATCATTATCTCGCGGCTGGTTTCAAGTCGGTCCAAAATAACACTGAAGAAAACAGACTGTTCAAAAGCTCAACAAAGGGGCAGGGCAAAGTAGCTCTAGAAACGTCTCCCACATCCCAGCTATCGTGAAAAACAGAAGCGCGGGGGCCAGGAAGCGCAGCCAGAAGCAATCCCTCCCCAGAAGTCAGAAAGAGCGATGCATATTTCCAACACGCACACCTCAGCACATCGTACAACAACCACGCAAGCAAACGCACCCGCCCCAGACCTAAGCCCCAAGCAAGAAGAAGCGCACAAGATCGAACGATGGCAAACCGGCCAGCCACACCGCGTGCAACGCCGCCCTCAGCCAACAACCAACGACCAGGGTGCACATGCATGCCGTGCCACCCCAAGCCCCCAGCCGCCCCGCCTCCCCGCGTGCCGACCTTTCCGCGCCGCTGCAGCACGCCCCCATCTCCGCGGGGCTAATCCGTACGAAAGCGAAAGCGTCGCCCGCACCTCAAGGCCAAGGCCGGCCAGACGCGCGCGCCTCGCTGCCTGCCCACATACTTACTATACTGGCCACCGCAGCGCAAGCAAGCGTCTCTTCGCCGCGCTGCTGCGTATATACTACGTATATCCTGGCGCAATCCGTTGCCTCCAGACGTCGCACCCGCCGTACATAGATGGAGGCGGAAAAGCATAACACACACGCGCTGAGCAGCGTACTCCGTACTTAGGTAGGACGCGAGACGCGGGGGCCCGGCACAGCCATCGCTCTTATAAACCACAACAACAACAACAACAACGACGACGACGCCAACGCCGCCCGCCCCGCACAGCTCCCTGCTCCTAGCTCCATGTATGTGTACATAAGCACGCAGCCCGCAGCGCTACTGGCGCGCGGCAGCACCTAGCGCGACGCGGGGAAGGAGCGGAGCGCCAGCGAGGGGGAAGAGAAAAAAAGAAAAAAGAAAATAGGCAAACGCCGCCAAGCGGCCTGCATGTCGCCGCTGTAGGGCGCCGAGCGCGTGCGGGGTGGAGTCGTAGGGGAAAGACAAGATGCTTCGCGGCCGACTTTTCCGCCTGGCTGGCTGCTTCAGCTCGGTTCTGTGCGCGAAGAGGCAGTCAGACATGCTGATGCTGATACTGGTGCTGCGCAGCAGCTGGCCGTGGCACCCCGACGCCGAGCTGAGCCACGTCGTGCGTGCCGTGTCGAGTCGAGGCAGGGTAGGAAGCCTGCTAGGTTAACCTACTAAGCTCTCCATGCCAGCCAGGAGTAGGGTAGAGACATCTGTCCTTCCGTCCCCCGTCAACGCAGCGGGTACTCGTATCGTGCGAGAGCTCCGGACGGCTCAGCCCATCATTGCCGCTCCTACGATTCCTACCCCTTCTCTACGGCATCATCGCAGCAGTAAACAAGCTTTGGCAGCAAACCTGGCTTCGCCGCGGAAAACCTGTTGTTGCGGGCAGGCGACAAAAAAGCATGATGTGGCGCGGCCGGATTGCGCGTGTGTGGCTCAGGGCTAGGCTAGAGGAACCTTTGGACCGTGGCTCGGTGGCGACGGGCTACGAGTAGGTACGAGTACGTCTGTCTGCACGGCATCGCCGCGCTAGCTACGGCGCTTGCCGCCAAGGGTCCGAGGGTCCTGGGGTCGTCGTTGGTGTGTGTCGTTGTCGTCGTCGTCAAGGCCGGGCAGCTGGCCGCGTCGAGGTACCCAGCTTTGTCCGACACGCGCGTGGCTGTGCACAAACCCGCGGGCGTCGTTTCTGGGGTTGGGGGCTGGAAGTAGGGAGTCGAGATCGAGATCGAGGCCCCGAGACGGGGAGGATGCAGTGCTAGAGTAGAGGGAGGGCTCCTACCTAACCTTACTCCTGCGGGCGCTCTCGTCGGAAGAGACGGAACGGAAGGAGGGGGGATGGATGGATGGCGGAACACTGCCCAGCTCGTCGCGCAGACACGGTCTCAAAACCTAGCAACCACAACGTCGAGGAGCAGGCGGATGAAGCGCGATATGTATCTCGAACAGTAGGACGAATATCAGCGTGAAAAACCCGAGACAAATTCGTCAATCGTGGTAAGCTCTGCGACGACTCTCGCTCCCCTTCCGGTGCGACGCAGACGCCGCTTGCCGCTTCTTTCCAATCATCATGGCCAACGGCAAGCCTCGACCCCACTTGCCGTCCCGCTTAGTGCGTCGTATATCCGCCATCCACAACTAGAGAATGCCCAGTGATCCATCTCGCATCATCACTCGCCAAGACGAGCGCCGCCCTTGCCGCATCATCTGGATCACCCATGCCGCCAAAGGGATGCATAGCGTCACGCTTGGCGCGCGCTTCAGGGTCATTTTGGTGGTTGGCCGTCATGGCGGTTGTGAGGACTGAATGTAGAAGGTGGTCAGGATGTGGTGGCAGAGGCACCAAGAACGTGCTTGCGGCTACAAAGGCGTGATGGGTGAATGTGAAATATTCTGAGAAGTTGAAACAAACTCACAGCCTGGGCAGATGCAGTTGCAGTGGATGCGCTCTTTTGCATAATCAAGAGCAATCTGTTTTGTCAGCTGGACCACGGCGCCTTTCGAAGCGGCATACGCCGCTGTTTCGAATTAGCTCTATCTTTAAATGAGGCCAAGAAATATGAAGAACGTGGCAACTCACGCGTTCCATGGAATGCCACTATTCCTAATATACTCGCAGTGTTGACAATCCAACCCTTGTCACCGTTGGATGTCTCCAGCGGCTCCTGGGTCAGCATCTGTGCCAAAGCATACTTACACCCGAGAAAGACGCCCTTGACGTTGATTGCCATTGTTTTATCGTAGTCATCCTCCGAAGTCTCGTGGCATCTCAGTACCCGAGAATGGGTACCCTCCACGCTGATCCCCGCGTTGTTCACCATGATATCCACTCGCCCAAACTGCCCAACGCACGCCGCCACCGCATTCTCTACATCTTCAGGCTTGGTGATGTCGGCCTTCACGAAGATGGCCTTGCAATCGGGATACGTCTGACGCAAAAATTCGTCCGTGGGTTGGCCAGCAGAAGCATCCCGCTCATGGAAACTGGTCGCTTTGCCGGTTTTGGGGTCGTTGCGAGGCGTAGGATAGAGGTCTAAGCAGCAGATTTTTGCGCCTTCCGCGGCATATGCGGTTGCTATAGCACGACCAAGGCCGGACGAAGAGCCAGTGATCAAGGCAGTCTTGCCAAAAAGACGATCAGGCATTATTGCGTCGTGGTATTCGGGTGGTCTTCGTGTGGGCGGGGTTTTTACGTGCCTCGTGACGACAATTCAACTTGGAGGATGTTCTGGATCTTCGTGAAAAACGCGCAACAGTGCTTGAGTGGAGAAAATGCTTCCTGGGGGCTGGTTCTAATGGTAAGTTGCGGGACGAGCCGACGTCATTAAGTGGTGACTTTGCGGGGAAGCTTCGTATGCCGATCTTTGCGCCGGTGCATGCATCTTGGACCCTTAACGGCCAGTTGAGAGTCCGAGAGTATATAGTACATGTAGCACAAGTAGTTAGTGTGCTCTAGAGTACATACTGGTGATACTTGTCAAATTGTCGACGTTGCTTATGCTTTGGTGGCAGTTTCGCGCAGGAGCCTAATATCAAAGTCTCCTCCTATTATAAGTCGCGAACGGACAGCAACAGCCTTGGCCGCGCTCTCAAGCATCCATCGCTCGATGAAAACATCGTCGGCCCCTCACCGCCTTTCCGAGCGGACGGCTCCAACCGGTCAGGTGGTCGCACCGCCAAGAAGAATCAGCGGCCAGTCGGAAAGAACGGCATATAAAGATGGCGATGGATCTCCCAAGACTTGTCGCCAAGACGTGGAGTACGCCCCCTCCCGCCCGGTGCGTATACTGAGCACGAGCACGAACACGAGTTTGTTTTGCGTTGCGAATATGTAGAGCCGACTTCACGGAGATAGAAGTCCCGAAGCGCAATAGGCGATACAGCGAAACAAGCGAGTGATAAAGTAGTCCTGCTCATTTGCAGCTTTCATGGTGGAAGGGAAAAATAGGCGTCCTGGCGTGGTAAAATGCGAATGGCGTGCTTGAAGTGATGGACGGGTCGGAGGTCACTAACCTCCTTTTCTCTTCAATCAATTTCCGAGACCAACTGGCGGAGCTGCTTTTTTTTAACTGGTGATCCTCTCATCCGTCATGCATCTTGCAGAAGGCCGCGTATACCCTGGTCTATACGAGACGTCTCAGATCTTCCCCAGGAAAATGCAGACGGTCGGGTCGGGCGCGGCGCAGTTAATGGTGTAGGAGACAGAGATCGCTAGGCCCGAAGCGGCAGGCAGCGGAAGGCAGACCGCGGATGAAGGGGACCCAAAAGTGCCGAAATTGAAACGTCTCTGCGTTGGAGGAGCGTTGGAAGAGAGGCGGAAGACGGAAGATCCGGCATGGTCGGGGCGCCAAGACCACAAAGTTTAAAGGCTTGGCAGGCCCAGCATGCTGAACGGAGCGAATTCGGCGGCGATCGATGCCCCAAGAGAGTGTGTGGAGATCCTAGCCTAGGGATGGGGCGCCGCACGTGAACAGGACGGTCTCTCTCAAGGAGAACTTAGGGGCGAGCTTAGATAGCCAATATTCAACACGCCCCTGGGGGTTGGCGATCCGAGGCGAGGCGGACGACTTCAAGTCGGCCGGGGCAGAGGCAGAAAACGAGAGGAGTGCCGCGGCGTCAGATGGCACTTTCTTCGTTCGAGGCAGGCGAGGTCGAGGCCTGCGACGGCCACCGATGTCATCATCATGGCCCATCCCAGCCCAACGCTCGTCATTGTGAAGCGCCGACCACGATGGTGCAAGCCCCACGGAGCTCAGGGTGGTCATAGCCGCCAGGTGCTGGCCTGGAGTGTGCAGCGTCCCCCCGCTCCATGGGCGTCGTACGTGTGTGTGTTTTGTGTGTGTGTTTTGTGTGTGCGCAATCGGCGCCGTTAGCCCAGCTGGCCGCATGCGACGATCCAGGGCGTGTGGAGACGACCTGACAGTGACGTGGGATGGACGAGCTGAAGCCGGTGGCTACACGAGGACGGATAAGGCGGCGAGCACAGAGCTTGCGTGGCTTGGCGGCGGGAGAGAGGCGGGAGAGAGGCGTGAGAGGCTGAGAGGGGCTGAAGCACCGCATGCGGCTAGGGTGCAAATGGCGTGTGGGCGTGGGGATTTTTGCGTGCTGGGCTTGGCCGGCGAGTGGCAGGGCGCTGTTTGCCCTCACGAAACGGCCGCCCGCATACAGCAAGCCCTAGTAGGCGGACGACAGCCTGTCCTTGATTCTTTGGTGATGCGCCGCCACATGGATCAGGTGTGGGGACCACCAGCAAGGGCCTTGCTTCCTTCCGCGCTCCGAGCCAAGCCCTGCCGCCAAGAGGTCAGGAGTCGAACAATCTACAGAGCACTGCGATAGTGCATAACGGCCTTGCTATTCCCAACTATAACATCAAGCCCCGTCCCTGTTGCGCCTGCATGCACACCACACTTTCTCGCTTCCGCTATTTCGACTTGTCCGCTACCGTAGACCCCCCAACACTCTCCGAGTCGTTAACCCAAACTTAAAGCTGCTTCTTGCCAACTCAACACCTCGACGACTCTTTCTTCCTCTCGACTTGCTGCATGATCACGACCTAATCTGCCACCATGGGACAAGAGAAGAACGTCAAGTGGGTGGAGGTAAATATGTTCTTTTTCCCTTTCCCACGACCCGCTCTAACGCCACCCAGGGCCTCCGTGGCATCGCCTCGGTCAGCGTTATCATGACCCATCTGGCCCGCGCCTGGTTCTACCAGTACTTTCTGGCCGCCGATGCCGAGGGCGTGCCCCCAAGCTTCCTCCAGCTGCCCATTATGCGCATCGTCCCCCAAGGCCGTATCGGTGTCACCATCTTCGGCTTCCTCACCGGCTTCGTTTGCGCGCTGAAGCCTCTGCGCCTCGCTCGTGCCGGAGAGCACCACAACGCTCTTACCGCCATCGCTAAGTCTGCTTTCCGCCGCATTCCTCGTCTTATGCTTCCCGCAACCTTGGCCATGACCATCGCCTGGCTTCTGGCTCAAATCGGCGCCTTCAACGTTGCCCACCGTTCCGACCAGGTCTGGATCAGAGAGGCTAGCCCTCACGGTGACGATTCCCTTTTCGGCGCCTTTGCCTCGCTCTGGCAGAACTTCCGCAGTGTCTGGACGAACGGCTTCATGGCCTACGATGACCATCAGTGGGCCATCCTACCTCTGCTCAAGGAGAGTATGCAGGCGTTCGTCACTCTCTCCGCGACCATCTACCTCAGCTACAAGTACCGCATGATGGTTTACGGAGCCATGTTTTGCTACTGCTACCAGTCTGATAGGCAACTCATGGGTAAGCACCCTCAAAACTGCCCGGGCTTGAAACCCAGTGACTAACTGCAGACAGAAACTTTCGGCCAGCAACTCTACTTTGCCATGTTCCTTTGCGACCTTTCCCTCCAGCCTTCGGGTCAGGCGTTCATGTCGAACCACCGCTTCGCCCTGAACGTCGCCTCTCCATTCCTTGTTATTCTTGGTCTTTACTTGGCATCCTACCCCATCGAAGGTGCCGAGTGGCTCACCTGGTCGCGCCAGCTCATGGACTTGTCCGAGTGGATCTTCCCCGAGGGCGTCGACATTCCCCGCCGCTATACCGCGCTCGGACTTGACATCACCATCATCGGCCTTTTCTTTTCGTCCGCCGCTAAGGAGATCCTATCCAACAAATATTTCATGTGGCTCGGTAAGAACAGCTTTGCTGTCTACCTCACCCACGGTACGCTCCTGCGCACTGTTCTCGTCTGGATGCTCTACGGAGTCGCGCACCCGCCGTTCAACGAGGTCAAGGATGAGGAGGGCAACGTCATTGGTGACTGGTTGCCCCCGCCCGGCCCCTGGTCCTTCCTCATCGCCGTCCCCATCTGGATCGTCATCGTGTACGCCGTGGCGCATGTCTGGACAACGTACGTCGACTCATACTGCGCAGGCTTGACGGCGCGCATCGAGAAAAAGGTCTTCGAGGAGGAAGAGAAGAAACAGATTGAGCTGGTCTAATCTGAAAGCCGATACAGCAATAATTCTCGCACAAAGGCGTACATGAAGGGCGGATAACCCGGATTTTTACTTTTTTCTTTTGTATATCTCTCCGAAGCTTGCATCGGACGGCGCGCGGACGGATGGGATTTGCATTTACCGCTGGTTTTGCGGTGGTTTGACTGCATTGCGTCTCTGCATAAACGCGGCATGGCAACAGACTCTTCAAGAGATAGAGCGGCGTACACATGGACTTAGAGTGGTCTAGTGGTGGCCGCTCATGCGACATTTTTTCTTTTTACTTTTGTAATTGTTTGAACAGGCACGATACCCTCCCAACAAGTAAAGCGGTAGCACTTGCGGCAAGATAGTCAATAAAAAAACAACTCATCACAACACAACACACCATGCGCACTGGTACTTGGCAAGCCAGCCAGACAGACAGACAAGGTGTCCTTCAGCCGCCAGCAGCCAGGCTGACATTGCAGCGGTGCAAGCGCGAGGAATAAGCATCAGCCAGCTAGGCAGCTAGCACGCACCACGGCCCAAAGCAAGCAAGCCAATACGAGCGCAACCACCCCCACCACTCCAACGGCCAAGTAACCAGCCCCATGGAACAGCAGCAGGCCACGGACTCGTGCCCCTCCCCCCATCCCTCCAAAGCACACACACATCCCTACCTATAGCATCCCCACACACCAGCCCACGCCCGATCTGAGACACGGTACCCGAGACACCCCCACACCGCAGCGCAGAGCAGCAGCGTCCCGCCCCGCTCCGCTCGCTCAGCGCGCTCCGCCGCCTCTGCGCGCGCCGTTTGGCCGGCCGGCTCCCCGCGAGCGCTTGGGTCCGGTCTCGGTCGGTTGAGGGGGTTGGGTGGTTGGGGGTGGTGGGGCGTAGGGCGAGACATTTTGGGTTTGGGCCGCGCGGCCTGTTTGCGGGCGCTGCGTGCTGCGTTTGGTGTTTGCAAAGTGGTGCTGGGAGAGGCGCGCGCGGCTGTGTGCGGCTAGGTATGTGGGTAGCTGACTTTTAGGTGTGTGTATGAGGGGTGGGTTGGTGCGCGTGTGTATGTATAAGCATCCATGTATGTGGGGGCGCGATCATGTCGTGCAGCGAGAAGAGAACATATACGGGACTGGCGGGACTAGGTAGTCCGTCCACAGCTCTCTCATATCTGGAATAAGCAACCATTCTACGTAGTCAAGCAGCAGAAAAAGCACACCTCTAACATAATCAAACACCAACAAGTAGCCCCAGCCGGGTCCGAGCATGAAGACAGAAAAAGAACAGAAGACCTCCTTGGACATACCATAAATAGCAGTAGATTCCATCCATCGCAAGGAATCCTACTTCAGCTGCTGCCGCTGACTTGTATAATTAGCACCCCAGCGCACATCAGCGCAGCCTTGCGGCAGCACTGACAAAGACATCCATCTGCACATCCACAAAAAAGAAAATCCAGCAGCAGCAGCCACCAAAAATATCTTCACAGGGCGCACGCAAGCACGCGCGTCCTCCAGGACGCGTGGCGGAAGCCACAGGGTTGCATGCGGGATGGAAGCGCCGCCACAGCGACAACAGGACGCGCCACCCGCGGCGCCACACGTCCGCGCGCCGCGCCTTTCGCGCATTTCGCGCCGACACTGATCCCAACGGGCTAACACGCACGCTTTTTTTCCCTCACTCATCCCGCAGCCCACCACACGCGCGCGCGCCACGCACGGAGAAGCCCTGCTCGCGGCCCCGAAATCCCACCTTCCATTGCCGCCTCGGATCACAACCCCGCGACCATGGCCGACAAGCGCAAACAACCTCCGCCGCCCGCCAACGGCCGCCAGCGCAAGCGCGCAAAGACCCGCGATGCCCGCACTATCGCTACCCAGGCATCCGGCGTCGCTTTCAAGAACGGCGAGGTCGACGTCGACAAGTTCGTCAAGGCGCGCCAGTACGAAATCAAGGCGCTCGAGGATGGCATGGCACGCTCGCGCAAAGGGCTCACCACCCGGGCTTTCCAGGGCGTGCCTAAGGAATTGCGCAGGCGGACGGCGAGTCACAATGTCAAGAGGGTGCCAAAGCGGCTGAGGGCGCGTGCTGCGAGGGAGATGGCTGAGGACAACACCCCCACAGTCACGGCAAGGCGGAGGAAACCGTCGTCTCACATGCGCCTGAGGCTGGAGACAGCCAAGCGGCTTAAAGCACTGAGCACAAAGGCAAAAGCAAGAAAAGAGAAAAAGAAGCAGAAGGCGAAGGCAGATGGTGATGGCGACGCAGATGCGATGGAGGTTACGGTTACGGACAATGCGACAGCAGCCATCCAGCCCAGAACGCCGCGCGTAAAGACGGCCACGCTCAAGAACCCTCCTACGCCGCCTGCCAAATTCCGCAAGCGCCAGTTGCACAAGAGCTGGCTGCCAACTCACATGTTCCACACCAAGCGCGCCCATCTGACGCCTCCGAGCGAGCCACTGTGGCGCTTCGCTATTCCTCTCGCGCCCACCGTAAAGTGCTACCGGCCAACCCACAGAGCCAGCACAACCAGAGGGGCAGTTGCCTGGGACATGAGCTACATGTCGACCATCGGCTTGGAAGGATCGGAGACTAGTGTGCAAGGGCTGCTTAAAGCTCTTGGCGTCGGTGTCAATGGTGATCCGGAAAGACTCTGGGGAAAGAAGGGCGAAAAATGGAGGAAAGGGACCCGAGCTTGGGAAGGTTGGCTCTACGAGAGAGATGGCTGGCCGCAGAAATCTATTGCACCGGTCACAGTGATTTGGCACGCCGGTTCCAACTCTGAAGATGTCGAGATGAAGGACGCATCAGCTACTGCGCAGAACAAAAAAGAACGAAGAAAAGCTTTTATACGCGTACATCCGTCAGCCTTCCTGCAGCTTTGGAACGAAGTCTTGAAAGTTGCCAAAATGCAACGACCCACCGTCACGGTAGAAGACCTGCGGTTTGAGATTGGAAGCATCGAAATCACTGGTCCAGGGGCCACGGAAGCACTTGCGGGAGCCTTGTGGCCTTTGGCAAAAGAGACTGTCGAGGATAGTCCTGAAGGGACTTGGAAGACTTTAGGACCTGTAACCAACCTTAACACTCTTCCCAACAACTGTCTTCTCGGCTTTGACATTTCCGACCCGCGACTACACCACCCGCCACGGACCATCTCCCATCCGATGGACAAGGCATCCCACTCGCGTCTCCTCCAGGTTATGGCCAACTGGCCAGCAGACCGCACACAGTCCGCTGCGGCACTCTTTGACCGTACCAACCGCCTTGCCGCATCGCGCTCTCTGCCAAGCCAAAAGTCCATCAATCGCCGCAAGACTTTGGCTATACCTGGATCCTACCCAGAGGCTCGTCCCACCGACCCCAAGATTCCTGTTCTGCTCTACGCATCACGCGGCGCGGGTGTGAGCACTGGGACATGGACGGTGCTCTTGCCGTGGAAGTGCGTGTCGCCGGTGTGGAGTAGCATTATGTACTACCCGCTTTCGACGGGTGGTAATGTGAGGCTTGGTGGGCTCGAGCAGAAACGGCAGCTGGCGTTTGAGGCAAGCGTGCCATGGTTTCCTGGCGATTTTCCGGGAACCAAGGCTGGTATGCAGTGGGAAGAAAGAGAGCGGGATCGGAAGAAGAATGAGTGGGAGCGCAGGCCGAAGGGAAAACGGACAGAATGGGACAGCGTGCCCTTAGCAGAAGGTAGGAAAGGCGAAGTCGGGATGGGCTGGGCCTGCGACTGGGAGAGGGTTATCAACGATCAAGCCTCGAACGGAGACAACGACGCCGCTACAAAACCAACCATCTACCAACTCCCCTCCTCTCTGGCATCGCAACAGCCCGCCACCGCCGCCGCCACAAGCCTCTCCGCCATCACAACCGTCCGCCTGGCGCTCCTCTCTCGCGGCCTCCCCATCTCCTGCGCCCGCATCTACCGCCTCCCGACCACGGACCCTACTCTCCGCAAACAATGGCTCGCCCTCGCGCCCAGCACCAAGTCCAACGCCCCCGCCCGCGCCGCCAAATGCGCCTCCGCTTCCGCGCTGCCGCCACGGCGTCCTCCTCCAGAGGCTCCAGAGCACGTGTGGCAAGCGCATCTAGCGGCGTCCTTGCTCGAGCCTCCTCCTCAGGCCGGCAACCCGGCGTACCCGGCTTCGCCTGACGCACAGGATCTCGTGGGATTTGTAACCGCAGGGAACTTTAACTTGGCCGATGGACGCGGGACGGCGGTTGGGGGGGTGGTGTTGGCCAAGTTGTGTGTGGGTGAGGGTGGGGAGATGGGCGAGGCCATGGCTGGAAGGGGGCTTTGTGTTGTGAGGAATGCGGGCGAGACGGTGGCGAGGGTTGCCAGGTGGGAGGTTGTGTAGAGTGTGGGTGGATGGTTGTGCTGGTTGGCAATGCTGGCTCTGGAAATGGCGGATATATCATATCGGTGTATCAGGTTAGATCTTAGTAGCGTGGCTACTTGCTGCTTTTGCTGTTGTAAAGATATGTAATAAGCAGTCGATACTAAGAGGATCGGGGTGTTGATGCCTCCTCGTTTCTTTTTCTAACATGCCTTGTATCGATTCAGGCAGGTCCGATGCAGAGTTGAGGGTACAGAAGCGTCGTGTTGCGGGCAACACCATTCGGGAAGGTGTGCCATTCGTTCTTGCAACCACGCCCTAGATACTGACTTCCACCGTCTTCCATCTCACCAGTCCTCTCTTTGTACTTCACAAGTCAACAACACCATCGTCCGAAAACCAAACAGACATCACCGCCATGGCCTACTACAATCAAACAGGTAGAATGACCAGTCGCCTCTACGACCCGTCACTTGACTATTACACAATTGACATCCCGCGATCGGACCTTGTCGTCTACAACCAGGAAAAGCAAATCCTCCAGCTTCAGATGAAGGTCAATGAGAAGCCTGAGCCATACCCTGATGAGAGTACCGTTGTCATCTATATCGACGGGGCCTGTCGTGGTGAGGGAACGCGTGAAGCGGAAGCCACTTACGGCCTCTACGTCGGGCTCGGATCTGACTACAACAGAAGCGGGCGGGTTCCTTCGTTCAATCTGCAAAGCAGCACTTACGCCGTGATGGAAGCCTTGCACTACGGATTGGACCTTTGTTCACGAGATCAAGAAGAATGACTCCAAGATTACACGCGTTATATATGCAACGGACTCGATCTTCCTGGTCAGGGCTCTGACGGAGTGGATCGAGGAGTGGATCGCCAATGACGGCTTCGACTCCGACCGTAATCAGGTTGAACACTTCGACAAGTTGAGGGACCTTCGCAATAGGTTCAATATCATGCAGCAGGTCGACGCCGGAGGCTTTGAAATCCAGCTCTGGCACGTTCCGCCGGAGAAGAATCAAGATGCCGATGCTCTGGCCCACGGGGCTCTGACTACTAGACCTACTCTTCAGAGTACTAGCTAGATGCTCCTACACAGGTATGCTGTTATAACATTCACTGTCATCAAGCATACAGACTGGAGAGTCTCGAGTTTGCTAACAGACCTTTCAGTGCATCTGACGATCCAGTACACGAAGTTAGCAGGCTTGTATAAATTTCAGCGTTATGTTCATCGACTCTGCACGCTGAACACAGAGCTACCACTGAGTTTCCGGTCAGCAAATTGGAGGGTTCTCAGGCATGGACAGATCCGCATGTGATCAGCTGGCAGTAAGTTGTGATGTCCGAATCCCAATACCCAATTCGAGAACTCAGTTCGACCCGAACATCTTCCCACTGTATTTTTCAACGTATTCTCTTCGACCGTTCACTAAACATGATAATATTTACGGACAATCAAGGTACCGTATCTCTGCTTAAAACAGTCGCAAAGAAGCTCATCCAATATGACAACATTGGTAATTGATTCACTCGTTTCGTTCCGAAAGCAACTTTACAACGATTAAAATGCCTTTTCTTAATCACCACCAACACAAAGGGTTTTCATGGTCATAGGTTCACTTGTGTGTTTACAGAACGCTTGTTGAGTGTTACAGAACATGGATTAGGGACAGCAACTCAGAAGAACTTTCATTAGTATAAATCACAAGAGTTTTACTTAAGAAAAGACCCTACCCTTGCCCACCGCTTCAAAAGGCCAATCCACCCCCGTCTCTGTTGAGTGATCTGTAATATCTCAGCTGCTGGCTCACCCTTGAATATCTGCTCGATAGCATGCTGCATGATCTCCAACCTGTATGTTATGGTGAGATATCTTTTCCCCTCAGGGATCGACGTACTTCTCCGACTTCTCGCATATCCAGGCATCAACGTCCGACCAGGTCTAAGAAGCAGCAGCAGCTTCGCCTCCTGAAAACCCTCTGCGGAGTCTCCGCGATTGCGCATCTCATATACTTCTTCCAGCCGCTCCTTCCATGTCGTGTTAGCATGCCACCCAATTAGATTTGCAGAAGCTCTGTGTTGGATCAGAATGGAAGTTCAGGAAGACGGAGTCTTGATTGCACTGGGAAACAGTTGATGGTTTTGTGTATATGGGTGTTGAATATGGCTTTGTTGTGAGCTATGGGGTTGGTATCCGTGCTGGAAGGCTGCGTTAGGGACCGAGGCGGGTGGAAATACACGCACCTAGTCTCGAATGGTCCGATGTAGGTAAAAGGCTAAGTTACTTTGGATTAGCTGGTCATTGGAAGGGCAGCAGCAAATTTGTGTGCACAAGAGATATGAATTCTTGAACAACCTGACAAGTTCATGAGAGTTGGGTCCGGCCTTATCTCTTAATTGGTAGAGATTACTGTAGCACGTCGAAACAATTGATGTCGATGGAAGCTATGTAAGATAATTGGACAGTGCTTTATGTATAATTAGTACCTAGTTTCACAGCGGAAAGGAATGTGTGGGGAACCTCGGTCCGGAGACCCCAGCAACAGCTTTCCCCGCGTTGAGCGAGCTCTAACATGGAGCTCCTCGCAGCGAAATCGCATCCCTCTCTCTCACCAAGACCAAGGACCCGCCATGTCGACGCCTAGTTTCTCCATCCCACCGCCCCCCACGAAGCTCTGCTCGCTGAGCTACCCCGCGCCCACAGTCCTCCTCGTCACGCTGAACAGGCCCAAACAGCTCAACTGCATCAACATCGCCGGCCACCACGAGCTCCACGACGTCTTCAGCTGGCTGGACCGCGAGCCCTCCCTCCGCGTCGGCATCATCACCGGCGCTGGGCGCGCCTTCTGCGCCGGCGCCGACCTCAAAGGTACCTACATACAGCAGGACACAGCTACCTACCTACCTACCCACCTCTTACCGCAACGCAGCAGCACAGCCCAGCCGCTGACACCGCATCCGCAGAATGGAACACGAGCAACGAGGCGGCGCTCCCGCGGCCCATGCCGCCCTCAGGCTTCGGCGGCCTCTCCCGCCGCTCCGGCCTCAAGCCCGTCATCGCCGCCGTGAACGGGCCCGCCCTCGGCGGCGGCTGCGAAATGCTCATCAACAGCGACATGGTGCTCGCGAGTGCGCAAGCGACGCTCGCGCTGCCCGAAGCTAAGCGCGGCGTCGTGGCGCTAGCAGGGGCGCTGCCCCGGCTCGTGCGGACGGTGGGCCGGCAGCGGGCGATGGAGATGGCGCTGACGGGGCGGGACGTCGGCGCCGTGGAGGCGCGGGACTGGGGACTCGTCAACCGCGTTGTTGATGGTGGGGCGGGGGAGGTGGTCAGGGAGGCGGTGCAGCTGGCGACTGCGGTCGCGGCGAATAGTCCTGATGCTGTGGTGGTGAGCCGTGAGGGGGTGAAGATGGGCTGGGATGGCTTGGGCGTCGAGGACGCGACTAGGCTTTGGGCGGAGAGCTGGTATCCGCGGTTGCTGGGTGGGGAGAATATGAAGGAGGGGGTGCGCGCGTTTGTGGAGAAGAGGATGCCGGTTTGGAAGGCGGCGAAGCTGTGATGTGGTTGGTGAGATTTCCGTGTGTGACCCTCGAGCACTTAGAGTGTGGTTTGGTTTGTATAGTTGTTGTCTACCTACAATAACTCGGAGCTTCAGGGTTGAATGTCGAAGTACCCGTGTGCATGCATTGGAAGCCAACTAACCAGTTGTAAAAAGGTAAACATCCAATTTCAACAAAGTCAAACGTGGAGTAAGTCAAAGCCATACCGATTGTCAGCGATTGTCTGGACATGAAGCTGCATGTACAGTAGGCAGAGAAGAAGCAGTCGGTGTTCATGCCTGCCAACCTAACTGCCCGCGCCTTCCTTGCCAAAAGTATAACAATGAGAAAGATAAAAAATAAAAATAAAAATAGAAATCAAGAGACAGAATCGACCCCGTCTTCCAACAGGGTCACCTTTACGAGTAGTAGCTCAATGATATATCAAGGGCCGTGCTAATGAAGAGCGTTAGCTATATACCAAATTACTAGGCTAGTGAGCCCCGTAGATTATTAACGGAATCCGATTCATATTTAAGTGTCAGAGCCCTCATGCTATATATACTATATATATATATATATATTTTTCTTTTTTTTCTTTTTCTTTTTTTTTTCGGGATGTTGATATGCTATATTATTACCTAGGTAAGAATTTCACTATGCCTATCCTTTATTCGTCTCTTCGCCCGCTCCTTATTTTTTTTTTCTCGCTCTTCGAGACCTCTCCTACTCTTACTCTTGCTCTTCATCTCTGCATCTCTCATTTCTTGAAGCCGACCGTCAGCCCGATTTGAGTGCAGTAATTGGTGATTACTGACGAGGTGGCTGCGAGATGAAGGCGCTTTACCTACCCTGATACCCGATACCGACCTTGCGCTGTGAGCTCTATAAGCATTTACAGCAACGGAAGGACACAGAGTCTGCCTTGCTCGTGAGCATTTCTACTACTACCCACGCATCAGTGGTTCGCCCACATCACTGCAAGGCCTTGCTGTCAACACTTAGTAGATGCTATCCTACCCACTATCGTGACGCAGACATTCTCAGTATAAGCACAAAGTAAATGCTTCTTCGATGCCTTCTTTTTCTGTTAACGTGTTTCCACCATGCTCGTCGCCCGTATCTATCTATCCATGGCGTGTGCACTGTGATCTGGCAAGGCATATAGTGCATATATATGCCACGGATATCGGGCTGTGTTTGTTGCTATTGAGATGCTGCTGAGGTAGGAATAGATATTTATCTTTAGCAGTGGGCTGTTAGGACTTTCAAAGCGAAAGGCATTAAGAGAAATTGTTCAAAAGCCTAGAGTGCGTTAACAACATTGTCCTAGCTGGCCGTCTCTTAATGATTTCCCCCTATTATCGCCTTTGGTTAATGGATTCTTCCCGCTTCCCAACGCAAGTAGGAGCGAGTGAAGGCTAAACGTTATATCACGAAAAAGAAATCATCGACTAAGCGGTTCGGAGACACGGTAGAGCGAAAGCCATTTTAGATAGTGATCCGGACATTTCCTAGCCACTAGTACCGCCTATTATCAACCACAGTTATACACCTAATACAGTACATCTACTACAAGCACAAGCACTCCCTAGATGACCACTCTTTCAGAATTCAGACCGGGTTCCTCCTTCAGTCTTAGACAACCCTAAATATACTAGCCTGCCTCATCTTTTTTCTAATCAAACACGACATTGCTCTCCATAATAGGCGGCTAAAAATATACGGTCGACAAGGGTCCCTACCTATACATACATATATTATAAAGAATAGGTTGTTCTTAGCGAGGGATTATGGGTTATAAAGGACCAACACATTTAATACTTCTTATCTCTTCGTAGTAAAAAGTCCATATAGCAAGCAAAAGAATCTACAAACGTCTACCTAGACAAATCAAACAAACAAAGAAAGCGCCCAAGTCCAAACCACCTACCAACGACAATAAAAACCCGTCTAAACCACCCCAACAACCACCCCAGCACCAGCACCAACAAATAGACAGACAGACAGACAGACAACGGACAAACGGAACCCCCCCTCTCTCTCTCACACACACACGCATCCCTCCCACCCGCACGCCCTCGTATCCGCAGCAGCAATTCCAGCCAATCAACCCCGCAGCACACCCCCACGCCACTCGCCTGCACGCCTGCACGCCTACACGCACTTACGCACACACATAGTATGCACGCAGCACGCAGTCAGCATGCACGACACGGAAGCCCTGCGGCAGGCCCCAAGGAAGCTCCCACCCACTCGCTCAATAAATAGTTAACCTCCGATTGGCGCGCTCGCCGGCTCCCGATCCTTGCTCGTGTCACACGTACGTACATTTACACCCACATACCGATCCGTACATGCGCATAAGTGCATACATGCATGCTTACTCGCTTCTTGCTCTCGCGTAGTTACCGATACCGCCTAGTCAACTGCCGAATAACTAGGTACCGCATACCGCGTACCGCATACCGCATACCGCGTACCGCATACCGCGTACCGCGTACCGCGTACCCAACCGGCCGCAGCCGACTGCAGGCATACGTACATACGTAACTACAGGCAGCACGAGGCAAACAACCAGGCAAACAACCAGCCCGCCCACCCGCCCGCTCTCTGTCACAATCACATCACGCCCGCACGCACGCGCTTATGCACACACACGGCTACACACCACCAGTCGTCGGCAGAAGCTTCGATCCATGTCATTGATTCCAATTCGTTTCATTTGCAGCTATTGTCTTGCCTTGCAGGCTCTCATCCATATCCATATCCATATCCATATCAGCCCACCCCCACCAAACCAGCACCGCACATCCATACACAACCCAGCAGCCAGGCCACCCATAACCACACCACCGCCGCCGATTCGATCCACACACATACACGCATCATACATCATCCACCATATCCATATCCATATCAGCCCACCCCCACCAAACCAGCACCGCACATCCATACACAACCCAGCAGCCAGGCCACCCATAACCACACCACCGCCGCCGATTCGATCCACACACATACACGCATCATACATCATCCACATCCAACAAGCATCTCACATCCCTCCCTCCCTTCCATCCCGTCCATCCCTATCCCACGCCCATCCACCATTCACATACCCATACCCATACCCACACCCCACAAACATCCCAAGCAGCCAGCCCGTGCATCTGCGCTCCGGCATCCCATCCCAATCCCATGCCATCCCGCCTGCCCGCCCCTCTCCACCTCAAGAAAGGAGTCCCGACGAGTAGGCAGAGTAAAAGAGATGATGATGGAGGACGCCGAGCCGATGAAGTAAAAGGAAGAAGAGGTGGAAGGAGAAAAGGCGGCTTAAAAAAGGGACAGAAAAACAAGAGTCAAGGAAAAAAGCCAAACGTCATAACAAATCGTCAGTCCATTTGTCTTTTTTAAATCTCGTCATATCCCTTCCTCCTAGTCTCCTCCCATCTCCCCGCCGCACGGCATTCGCTCTCTCTGATGTTTCACTTCCCTTTTCCATTTGCGCGCGCGAGGCAAAAAAGGCAAAACGACAAAAATAAGAAAAGCAAAAATGTCCCGAGGCAAAAAAGAGCAAGCAAAACCCCTCCCCTTTCCAAAGCATAAAAGGGAACAATGAGAAGGAAAAATAGGAAAATAAGGCAATGACAGCAATAGCCCAACGTCGACGACCCGTCGCAGCAACAACTCTCGTAAGCCCATCTAAACTCGTACCGATGGGACAAACCAAAGCATAGTGTGTGTAGAGAGAGGAGAACAAAACGCCCGTCGAATGTATGTGCAACGAGGAAAGCAATCCACCTGCGCCGTTGACAATGCTAGCTCTTTCAGTGCCACAGGGCTCCTCCCAACCCGCGAGAGACTTGAATCAAAACCCCGCGCGTGTGGTGATCCACATCTATAAACTTTTTGATTTTGCAACAAGGAAAGATATGATAAAAAAAAGACAATCAATGAAATAAACGAAAAGACGGCAGGCTACGGTTCAACTCTAGAACGAAGCTGCCTGACAACGCCGACCTCGTCTAGTATAGTGCGCGTGAAAAATGACATGCAATGAGCGTAACCGACGTTAACAATTGAAGGTTTCCGGATGGTTCGATTCGGCTAGATACTTGTGGAGGCGCAGCAGACTGCAGAATTAAAAGCGTCGAGCGGAGAACCTTGGGTGCATTAATAGGTACTGACAGCAGAGACACCACCATGTGTGGGAATCCCGCTAGCCAGAACACCATGAGGATGAACTCCGGTGGCATGGACGCTAGTGGGAGTAGCAGCAATGCTGTGGGACTGTGGGGTCTGGGTTCCAGACTGCTTGTCAATGGGCGCGAAAAGAAGCTTCATGTCCAGCAGCAGGTCGTCAACAGCGTAGTTGTTGTCCATGTCGCCGACAGAGCCGGATGGCATGCCAAACCTGCTCTGTTCAGAGGCGACCCAGTTCTTGATTTGCTTGAGGACATGGAGGGTCTGAGAGAACCTTTGGTCCGCGCCCATGTTCAGCCAGTCCTTGCTGCGTCTGCGCATGATGGTGTTTGCAAGCCAAAAGTAATGGATGCCATCTCTGCAGTAGCCGCGAGGAGATGGTGCCTGCGGCCCGTATTGAAACCCCATGTCTTGATCCCAGCTCCGCTTCCATTGCTCCAGCGCCAAACTGACAATGCGAAGCGCTTGGTTGGCGTTCTGCGCCGCGACGGTATCTGTCGGTGTCGCAGGGCCACTCGTGCTGGCACTGCTGGTTCCAGAAGAGGCGTCGAACTCGTTTGACATGGGAGTGCTGGAACCACTCGACGGCATACCGTTGGGAAGCAGGTTCGTGTGCTGCGCTGCCTGGCGAAGTGCGCTCCACATCTGGACGTGGATAGCGTGAATGATGATGAACTTGGAGTAGATGTTTGTCGACCGAGGCAAGGGCTCGCTGTTGTTCTGAACCAACGTGCGCAGAACCTCGCGGATCTCCTGCTGCTTCAGCAGACGGCTGCCCGCAATGTTCTTCCTCTCCTGCACCACACGGCCATGCAAACCGAGGGCATCAGCGCAGTCGTTCGCGGTACGCGCCTCCCAAACCGCGTCGTCAGACGGCAGCGGAAGGCGAATCTCGAAAACGTCGAACTGAGCACGGCAATTGCAGAACATGACAAGTGCTGCGTCGAGCAGGAAGATGAGGAACATGATTCTCGACTTCTTCTCTTGCGCCACCCAAGAACCCCAAGACCACTGCCGCAGCTGGTGCGGGTGAGCGTCGGCGCCCACATTGTGCAGAATGCTGAAACCCTGTTGGCCTTCCGGGGTCGGGGTGAGTAGATTGAGATTGCGCGTAACTTGCGCCAGCTTCGGGAATTCTTCCCGGATCTGCTGCCGCTGCGCCGCGTTGCCGTGCCACATGAAAGCCATCGAAAGTAGAATCAGTGTTTGAAGTTCCTCGATATCGGCCGTCGAATTCGTGATGATGTTGGCCTTGTCTTGGTCCGAATCGCCAAGCATGCCATAAATACGTGAAGATCGTTGAACAGCGCCCTTCGTCAACTCCATGAGCGCCCGCACCTGTAAAATATTTTGCTCCTTTGAATACACAGCCCCAATGCAGATGATAGTTAAGAGGAGACCATTGCTGGCTTCAACCGGGTTGAAGGTTGGCATATGAATCAATGGCCAGTGCTCCTGGAAATTCTTGAAACCTTCGAGGAAGGACTTCATGTTTTCCAGCGAGGAGGCCTTCCTCAGAACATCGAGCGCTTGTGCCTCGTTAGGCTGGACAAGAGAGGTCCCGCCGGGGAAGCAGAAAGCGATCAAAGCTTCAGCCTTATTCTGCAAGGGATCAGAAGAGCTCAAGTTCCAAGTGTCAAACACGGTGTCTGTGTTGGGGAATGCCGACGCACTGGAATAAATGTTGTTGAACATGCCATCCGGTGTGGCCTCACCGGACGAGTGGTGAAAGTTGTTCGTGGTCAGATCTGTCTCGGCTTTTATAGCAACAGGATCCTGAGAGATGCTGGTTGGGATGCCGAATGCGTCCTGTCCCCCATTGTGATGGTAAGGATTATCCCAACCCATTTCGTTTCCCTGGCCGTTATGGACGTTGTTCATGCCAGAGATACTGGCGCGGTTGAACATGGCTGTGTTGTGATCATCAGCCTTCATTGCCATGTTGTTGTGCATGTTAGCGCCCGAGACGGCGTGGTTGTACCCAAACTGATGGTTGAGTTGATCATTGTGGCCCATGGTATAACCAGGCATCTGTCCTCCAAGGCTGCCGGGAACCGTGTTTGCGTGGTTCAGATGGCTCGCGTCGAAACTCATGCGGTTCTGCTGAAGGACGTTCAGGTCGGAGATGCTCCTGCGCTGGTCGTTGAGTCCGTTCATTTGGGTCGAGGGCTGCATCAGGCTGTTGGCGCGGGACGTGCGGGCGGACATGGACGGCAGGCTTTCAGCGTACTGGCCCGGCGATTCGGACGAGAATCCCTGATTGCCGACCATGTTGTTTGGGTAAGCACCATTCGAAAAACCAGTAGGGGCGTTCACAGCGTTGAGGTAGCTGTGATCACCTGATCCACCCTGCGAAGCTCTGTTCTTCCTCAAGTGTGCCTGAGAGTTGGCCAGATGGTTCTGGCCGGTGGGGTTACCGCGACGGATCGAGCACTTTTGGAAATGTCTCTTGAGAATGTCGGAACGAGAGAAGGTGTCCTTGCAAAGATGGCATTGATAAGGACGCTCGCCGGTGTCTGGAGAGGAGGGGCTGGGTTAGCATTCCAGCCAGCGAGAGGCGCGTCTTGCTGAAGAATGGGGAGAAGGAGGACGAAAGAAAAAGAAGTGGTGACTCACGTCTCAGGAGGTGGCGCTTCAAGTGCTTCAGATGAAGATAAGTCTTGTTGCAATGGGGACACTCGTACTTGTTGTCGGCGTTCTTGGTCAAGTTCTGTGTTGCCTTGGCGCTGCCGGGGGCTGGGCGACCGTTGGCGGTGGGCAAGACACCACGGCGACCTTGCTGTCCAACGACATGTATCGGCTCAGGCTCCTGGTTGGGGAGTATGGGAGGCTGGGTCATCAAGTGCGAGGAGCTGTAGGGCAGGCCGATGCCGCCCGAGGGCATTGGACGGATGTCCTGCAGCGAGGCCGTCATGCTCGCAGGGGCGATGGCATGCACGTTGTTGGGGTGGGCGCTCGAGGTGATGCCGCCCAGCGACTGGCCGTTAGACAGGGTCGGGTGGGAGAGGAAGTAAGAGCTCGACGACGGGTTCGAGTGGAGCGGGGGATGCGGCGCAATGGTAGGCAGCGCGCGGCCGTTGCTGACCGAGGGGGCGCTGGAGGCGGGCGTATGCGGAGTCAGCGGAGTCTGGGGCGCGCTCCCGTAGGCGTTTGTGGAGAACTGGGTCACGTTCCCGAGTGGAGGCAGTGGGGGGAGCTGCTGAGTGGACGCGGAGGGCGCGCGAAACCTTTGAGGCGGCATCGACGTCTGGTGCGGTGTCAAGGGCTGGGAATGGGTGCCAGAAGGCGTCGGGATTCCATGCAAGTAGGTAGAGGTCTGGTGGAAGGGATCGTCCATGGTATGGTGGAGCGGAGCGGGCGGTGGGAGGTTTCGAGGCGCACAGTCGGGAGTGGGCGCCAGGTGCACATCCGTCGGCTCAGGCGGGCGCGGTCGGACGGGACTACGAGTCGCGTCTGGAGGTTAGGCCGGGGCGGGTGATGGTGGTGGTGAGGGAAGTGCTGGCTGAGTGGTGGTGTAGCAAGCGCGGTTTGGTGGAGAAGAGGAAATATGGTGGGGGGTTTTGCGTTGGCGGGACGCGGTGGAAGTGGGATGATGTTCGGCGCGCAGGCCGAGAGAAATTTTCGGCAGCCGGGGCGTCGACGGATTGGGCCAAGGGTCGCCAGCAACACAACAGCAATGGGGCGCGGCGGGAGGGTTATGGTTCAACGCTCAGCGGGAAGGGATTGCGCGCAGATCCAGGACCCACAGCCGAAGAGCCTCTCTCAGCCTCAGCCTCAGCCGTCAACGGCAGAAAGTGGAGCGACAGGAAGCGGGTGTGGAGCCAGGGACGGGCGGCAGGCGGCGGGTGCGGCGAGGGTCGTGGTAAAAGAGAAACAAAGACGACGTGTCCCTGATGGGTTGGGGAAGAGGGAGTGGAGGAAGAAGAGGAAGTAGGAAGTGAAGAGAGAGGGAGGATGGATGATAATGCGCGCGCGCGATCAGCTCACAAGCAGCCAGCGACGGGCGGGCATTGAAAGCACACAGGCAGGCACACAGGCAACAGGCACAGGCACAGGCACAGGCACTACAGGCAAGGCAAAATGGCAACAAATTACAGGCGCGCATTGCGCCAAAATATCGGGCGGCGGACGGCACGTGACGGGGGAGTAAGTACTGGCAGAGAGAGACAAGTGCCGTGAATAGATAGATGCCCGTGATGGATGCCCTCCTTCCCTCTGCACCATCCAGGCCTTATCGATTATCGAAGGAGCCTCGCCGCCACCATCGCCAAGGCGCACTTATCTCCGATGCCAGCTGTCGCCAAGTCTGGAGATGCGGAAAGTTGTCCGAGCCCAGAGCTTGCCCGGAAGCGCCCGGCCACCGCGACCGCCAATGGCGATCCCGATGCGCGACAGACTGTGGCAGCGAGTCCTCTCATTCTAGAATCGCTGCTCCTCACGCCATAGTTAGGTAATCCGGAAACGCAATCCCATTACCCAAACGAGCTGCCCGCCGCGCCCGGATCGAGCAAACGTGTCAACACGAACCTGATGAAAAAGACAAGACATTCCTCCAAGCGCATCCTCCGGTCCGCGACCCCTGCGCTTCCGCGACGAGATCTGCTGGCAGCAAGCAGGGGCGCGACTCGAATTAGGCCGATGGCTGCATACTACGACCTCAGTCGAGACGTTCCTGCCTCGCCAACGGCCACCGGCCAGCGAATCGCCTGTAGCCGCCAGGGGTAATGCGAGGAAAAAAAGACCGTCGGGCCTGGGGCCGGCGACGACTTTGTACGTATGTAGTAGAAGCGTTGAGGGTGACCGGTCACGCTCCGGTACCGGGACGCGGCCTAGATGGGCAATGAATGTGATAGATGATATCGCGGGGCCGGCAAGCCGCAGGACGCGATGGATTGCAATCGAAGGAACGGCGTTGGGCGACAACGACGCTACGGGAACCAAGGCTGACGTCGGCCTGGTGCCTTGGCCTGGTAGTCCTTTGTTTTGTAGCATGGAGGACCTGGCTAGTGTGTGCATCGTGGGTTCCTCACAGCTTTACCCCTCCAGCACGTGCGGCGGGATCCTCAAAACAAGCTGCGTGGGTGGTTGCGGGAGAGGTGGACGGGTACCTAGCCATCCGGGCGCGTGCACTGCACACACCCGGCGCGCAACGTCGCACGCGCTCCAGCGGGCAGATGGTCGGCCAAAGAGCCTTGTAACCTGGCCGTGGCGAGTGCAACCACGGCCGGCTCGTCTCGCGACGGGTGTGCGAGATGGGCCAAGGCCCCAAAGGGGGGTCCGCTGGGTGCCTGTCTGTGCAAATAGAGTGCCGGCAATTGTTCATCTCGCCTGCTCGCCTCGTCCTTCTCTCACACACCGACCGTCCACGATGATGCAGTAGTCATCCCTCCCCCCCCACGCACAGACGGGCAGCCAGACAGGCAGACAGGCAGACAGTACACAGACACTTTCTCACTCCTCGTCTCGTCTTGTCCTTTGCGCGGCAAAAAAAAAAGCCTCTCTCGCCTCGCGCTACCTGCCGGGGACTGCGCTGTCCTCACCGTCGTTGTCGTCGCCGCTGCGCTTCTCGGCCGTACCGAGCGTCTGTCGCCGACGTCTGCTCGTCGCGGATGCTCGTCAATGGCCGCTTGCTGCGCGCGCGTCGGCTCTTCCGCGGCGGCACGGACGGACTCGCTCGCTCGGGTCGCTCGCAGCCGATGCCGCTCGCGACTCGCGACTCGCGCGTCGCGAAATGCTTCGCTTCGGGCTTCCGATCGAGGGAGGGGGATGGCTGCGCGTGTGCTGATGGCGCCCGAGGAGGTGGGTATCTAGTCATGTACGTGGACGTGGTCGTGGACGTGGACAGGAGGGGGGGGGGGGGGGGGGGGGGGGGGGGGGAAGGAGCTGCGTCGACGTCGCCGTCGTCCAAAATGTGATGAGCGCTGTGCGCGGCTGTCTCGATCGATGAGACTGACTGTGTGTGTGTGTGTGTGTGTGTGTGTGCTGGTGCGGAGAAGACGGCGCGCCTCCGTGAGCATGAGTTGCGTGTGCTTGCTGCTCCTCGACACCTACCTACTTACTCCGTACACCATTGCCCTTCGAATGCCCTTCGAATCACGTCCATCAATCCTCACGCTCCTTCGGGATTCCTCTTGACCAGTTCATCCCCCCAACCCATTTCATCTTCTCCGGCCATCCGACCCCAACACCAACACCATCACTTTCGCCGCAGATCATCTTGTAGGCAGCCTCACTAACACTCCCTCAACCCCAGCTTCCGCGCGGACGCCAACGCGCTCCACCGCCGTCAGTAGCCAAACTCCCATATGTCTTTGACGTAGCCCTCGGTGACAGTAGAGTCTTCGCCATATCTGTTGGCAAGGAGAGAGGGGAGCCACGCGTTAGCTGGGTGTCGAGCTGGAGAGAGCGATTTGTGGAATGGCACTGCACAACTCTGATCTCGAGACGATCTCCCTCGCCCCAGAGAAGACAGAGCCCGCGGGGCAACCCAACAAATAACAAAAGGCAGAGAGATGGAGATAGAAAAAGAGAAAGAGAAAGAGATAGAGAAAGATGGGGACAACATGAGAGAGGAGGGAGAACATAGCAAAAGCAAAACACGACTCACTTCTCCTGCCACTGCACAAACCCGCCATCGAGGACGCAAACCTGCTGTTTCTGTCCCCCCTCAACCCCAGCCTCAGCCTCAGCACCCACGCTCCCATCCGCCCTCACCCCCACACTCTCGCCCTCCCCCTCCTCCTCGCCCAGCAGCCTCGCCCTCTCCCGCAAATATCTCAGCGCCGCGCTCGGCCCCCGCTGCTGGCTCAGCGCGCAGTGGAACACGACGGTCGGGACGTCGCGCAGCGCGCGCACCAGCTCCGGCGTCGCCCAGTCCAGCGTCGACGACGGCACGTGCCGGCTGTGCCGGATGTGCCCGCCGACGTGGTCGCTGTCGCGCACGTCGATGACCGCTACCTGCGGACTGCTGCCTGTCAGCATCGTGCTGCTCGTCTTTAGCAGCCCGTACAGCTGGTCGCGGTCGATGCGCCGCAGGCTCGCAATCGTGAGGTTCGACATCTTGCCCTCCTAGTGCTGCTGCTGCCGTGCGTTGTGTCTCTGTGTGTTTCTGTGTGTTCGTGGCTGCGCTTTCTTCCGCGATGCTGCAGGAAGGCTGCTGTGCTCTTTTCTTTTCGGGTGGCGGCGGGAGCGGCGGTGGCGGCGGCGGCGGCGGCGGCGGCGGCGGCGGCGGTTGCGGTGTTGCGGTCGTACAAGTCGCGCTCAGTTGGTTGGCTGTCAAGTTTGTTGCGCGAGGCGTGCGAACACCAGGAAAAAAAAATAGCCGTAGACATAGAAACAAACAAACAAACCTTAGGTAGCGTTTAGCCTGTCCGCCAGCGCCGTTGAACGTCGGAACCCACGTGTGACCGCTTTTGTGACGTCGGGCCCGCCCCGCGACGATGTGGGGTCGTGGAGTAGAGGCGCGGGAAGGACGGACTTTCTGGATGCGCGCCCGCATGGCGTCTTGCATATGTAAGGGTCCTGCTGCCTATCGCTGCAGGGCTCTGCCCGTGCTGCTTGCTGTGGGCTACATGTATCTTATTCAATGGGGCTGCCTGCGAGGTGGGACGCGCCTCTCCATATTTAATATCTGGGCCCTGGGGATACCTAATCGGGCAATCCGAAACTGCAGACACCAACCTCACGCCTTGATCGTCGCCATGATGCTCGTGAGAAGACAACCCATATCTTTCTCTGCCTACAGGTATCTAGACAGACAACATGCTTGCTAAAGGAACCCTTGATCGTGAATCCGCAAAGTAAACGCCTAAAACCCATCCTATTACCTTCAAACGCTCAGTACATCCAGTTGTTTTTCAATACAACCTATCCAGTGCCAAAACGAAACCGTAACGCGTACCCATCAGTCCGTCTTGCCTCCTCCGTTGGGCACACCCAGAATACCATCCTTCTCGTTGCCGACCGTGAAGTAGCCCGTTCTCCGAAGCTTGCCACGGCCGAGGTAAGTTCCCAGTCCGACAACGATAATAATAACAATAATGGACAAAATGGGGTGGCCCGTCAGTGCCTGCTTCATGCTGAAAAGAGCATGGCTGAAAGCACCAATGGTAGATTTGGGCTGAAGCGCCGGAGGATTACGAGTAACCTTGGACAAGGTCTCTAGGATTGAGGTGCGGCTGGGAACAATCGGGTTACCGGTGAAAGTCTGATCCCAGTAGCGGCGGTTCTAGAATAGCGGTTAGTGACTGCGCTTGTCTCAAGAGTGCCATCCAACGGTCAAACTTACATCCTCGTCATTGATAACAACCTTCTCTCCATCCTTGACGTCAATGCCATAAGTGGTCCTAATCCAGCGCTCCCAGAACACGCCATCAACCCAGGCAAAGGTAACTTCTTTGCGCTCAATCTCATCCATGTTGATGTGGATGCTCTTGGCCGACCGCAATGCGCGCTGGTCATTCCGGTCCTCCGCCTCTTCGATCCGCAGCTGCTTGGCATCGCGCAGTTCCTGCCTCTCGAGTTGGAACTGGTGTGTCTGCTTGTCAATCCACTCCATTGCGGCGTTCTTGATCTCGCGCTTGGCAACAATGAACTCGTCACTACGCTCACGGGACAGGATGCCCAACACAACGAGCTTGCCATCCATGATTTCGCGAGCGTTGGTGGCTGTAAGCTCAGGGACGATAGGCAACCAGACCGTCTTCATCCAACCAAGGACCTTACGAACATCACGCATGTCCCTCGGTGAGATGGGCGTGTAGTAGGTCGGTTTTCCATCCCTGCTAACAAGCAGACGTGGCCAGGTGGAAATCTTGAAGCGCTTAGCCAAAGCGGGATCGTTGCTCTTGACCATTTTGGCGTGGCCAATCAAACTAAGTGTGAGGCGCTCCAGAGCCGCGAAATCCTCGGTGGTAGTCGCGTGGTCATAAACGTAGAGGAAGATCACCTCTTCCGTCTTTTCCATTTCCTCGAAAGCCTTCGCATCAACATCAGGGACACCGTCACCAATATCGTACGCGCTGTTCGCAAAGGCGAGAAGATCGCCAACACCGCGCAAACCGTCATATTCAACACGCTCGCCGCCGCGGAAGTACAGGAGCGTAGGGTAACCTTTAACGCGGGCGTCCTTGCAAAGCCTCTTCTCAACGTCGCAGTTGACCTCGCCAATATTGAGCTTTCCCTTCATTTCACGCGCCATAGCAACCCAGTTCGGGTGCATAGCCTGACAATGGCCGCACCAGGGCGCATAAAACTTGACAAACCACGGATCCTGAGTGGTAGTGACAAGCTTTTGGAACCCCTCGGCGGTAAGCGGAATCGATGAGCCTAGCGGGTTGTGGTCGACCTTTGCCTTTGTTGCCTTCGTGGCTTCGGATTTCTCTGACGCGGCGACCTTGGTGGCAACCTCGTTGTGCTTAGCTGCTGCCGCTTTGCCACCCTCTGGGTTCTTGTCCTTGGCCTCGTTGACGGCGGGCTTGGCGTTGGTCTCAACACTGTGGTCGCCCTTCTTGGGGAGCTTGATGCCTTCCTTTGGCCTGGAGCCGGGCCGGATGGTCTCGAGGGTCTCCTCAATCCAGTCGCTGTAGAATTTCATATTGTTGGCGCCCACTTTCTTGGTGACTAGTTTGCCGTCCTTGAAAAGCATAATGGTAGGGAACGAGTGGATATCCTTGGCGGCGCAGGCGTCGCTGAAGGCGACACAGTCCAGTTTGGCGAAGTGGAAGTCATAGTAGCGCGTAAAGGTGTTCAGCGAATCGCCTTCCTTGTCTGACGAAGCGGGGAGAGGGTCGGAAGTGTAGTAGAACTCGTAGAGAGTTTGCCACGTCGGCGCAAGAGCCTGGCAGTGGGAGCAGTAAGGAGAGAAGAACTCGACTAGCCTTGACGTCGGTGTTAGTACTCCAGAGCAACATCGAGGAAGCGGCGCGCGTACCAGTTGCCTTCGGCGATATCTTTGTCTATGGTAGATCCGCTCAGCTCCGTTATGGGCGGGACGGGCTTGTCGTTGAAGACGGTGCCATCGGTGGCGGGATTGTCGGTCGCAGGCTTCTTGGCGTCGGCGGCGATGGCTACGGAGGAGAGGAAAGAGAGCGAGAGGAGAGAGGCGAATAGGCGCATGATGGGCTGCGGGGTGCAGGCCGTGGAGGCCTCGATGGTGAACAAGTCAAGTGGGATGTGGAGGCGTCGCGAAAGGAGGCATCAACTAGCGGCAGGTGCTCCCCGGTCGGCGCTCTCAAACCTCCGATGGTGCCAAGCCCATTGACGACGGCATTACTCTGCGACGCCTCTCACTCGCTGAACGCCCATTGAACCCTCCACATCCCACAACTCCCATCCACCATGAGGCCAGCCGCACGTCTCTTCGCCGCCGTCAGGCCTGCTGCCCAGAGGGTTCTCCAGCCCGGCGCGCCCACCGGCCTGACCGGCCTGTTCACCCACGCCGCGCCCCGGCCCACGCTGCTCTTCCTCTACAGCCAGACGCTCGACAAGCTCAAGCAGCTTCCCGAGAGCTCCGTCTACCGCCAGTCCACCGAGGCCCTGACCCGCCACCGCGCCAACATTGTCGAGTCCGTCAAGCCCGCTGGCTACGACGAATGGCTGGAGCGCGTCAAGGAGCAGATCGCCAACGAGCCTGAGATCTTCGAGAAGCACGGCATGGGCGTCAAGTACAACCTTGACGGCAAGGAGTTCATTTCCATGAAAGAAGTTCAAGAGGCCGACGAGCGCGAGGAAGAGTGGGATAGCGAGCCCGTGGAGGCCCCGACGCTCGAGGGCGTCAGGACCACGGAGGAGAGGAGAGGCCAGAGGGAGGAGCTTGGCGAGGGCAAGCCGATCACCCCGGACAATGTCAAGAACTTCCGCTTGGAGGCGGAGCCCAGTTTGACCGCTGACCAGTAAGTCACCTCCACTAAGTGGCAGGCATTCGCAGGCGTGGGGTCGAAAAGAGCATTGGAAGCTATGTACCATGAAACTGCAGGCTCGCTGATGTCAACTACAGGATTGCCGAGGTGGAGAACCAGATTGGTTCAGGTCTGATTGAGGAAGTCATCCGGGTCGCCGAGGGCGAGCTCGAGCTTGTTGACAGCATGACCAAGGAGAGAGTGTATGCCTTCATTATCACCTTGCTCTGTAGAAATAGGATATTGACGTGCCAAACAGGTGGGAGGAGCTCTGCGAGAAGCCGGCCGAGGGCCAGTGGAAGTACTTTGAGCGCGGCCAGGGACACCACACCGCGACGCAGAAGCCTTAAGCGTGCCCTGTATACCAATTGTACATTTTGCGGCCCCAAAATCGGAATATCCTCCAACTTCATCATTAGCAAACTCCATATTAGTATGGCGCATGACGTTGAACTGTATGCTGAGTTAACATACATTTTGCTGGCCAAAACGAAATGCCAACCACTATCTCGAAGATCATCAGTGATTCATTGCCTTGGTTTTTAAATACGCCAGCACTTTTGATGTCCAACTCCGCAGATGATTTACCGCCCGTCACCGTCGGGCTAAATTTATTGCCTATAACGAAATAATAATACTTGTGCGGAGTAGAACCGTAATCCAGTTAGGATGCTTAAAGTATGTGCGCACTCTAATACCCTTTCACTCATATCTAGGCTAAGGCTTGTGGCTAGGCAAGGAGTGTTCTATAGGGACTGCTTTTACCCCTCCTCACCATGCTAAACGGGAATCTTTCCTGACGATGAGAGATGTGTAATCCATCTCCAAATTTCCGTCCACCAAACCGACTATTTCCCGCACGACAAAATATTATATAAACAACAGCTTGACCCCTCATTCCTAAACTCTTAAATATCCACACAAACCATAAAACCGCTTCCTTCTCTCTGAGCAACCCTCTACTCGAGCCTCCTCAAAAAGGCCATCTACTCCTCAAAACCTCCACGCCGCATGCCCATCGCCGCTCTGCACAAAAATCTCATCAATGACTGGTGAGGAAGCTCATCGCCACAACCTCTCGCTAGCTAGCATTATAAAATGGCAATGCTAACCACCACCACCATGCCACTATGCCACTCCAAGCCGAACTCTAGCACAAATAACGTCTCAGAAGGTAACGAACTATTAGCTCCGCGACCCCATCCGCGTTAAATGAGCTCCAAAAGTCCGTCGGGCGTCAAGAAGGTTGATGCATTCAGGTTTGACAGGGCCCCCAGCGCTCGAGAACTACTCGCTTCTTCTTTCATACCAACCAACCGTCTTAAAAGAAGACCAGGTTCAGGGTGCCGAGCACAAAGTCGATTCTACAGTACGTAAGAGGCGGTACGAAGTGGGTAGGTAGTCCAGGTGCAGGCAACGTTATCTCTCCAATGAAGCCGTATAGGAAAACAATAAAGCATTATTTTAGCTATTACAACACGCATATCACTCGCTTGTATGTATATGACCGCAGGTTATACAGCGGCTGCGCCTACGACTGCTACGGCTATGACCGCACAGCAAAGCTGACCTTTATATATAAATACCTATCTTAAAGCTCAGTCCGGCTGTAGAGAGAGAGAGAGAGTACTTACCTAACCCCTCGTAGATCTTAGATATCTAAAGTCTAAGAAGTGTATTTATTTCCTTTACATTTTTAGCTTAGCTTTAGCTACCTCCCCTCCTCCTCCCTATCCTTCTAACCACCACCTCACCACACTCGACTATTTGATACGTAGATACTAACCACCCCACTCTACTACATGTACTTTATACTTCGTACTTCCCATTGCTCACTTACAGCTACACGAAAAAAGCATAAAGGAGCGCGGTCGTGTATATATATATATATGAAAACACGAAAGCATCCCAGTTTTCCTTGGTATACAGCTCACACGCCCTAAACCAACCCACCGCACCGCCCTCACACCACACACACACACACACACACAGGCTCCGTCTCCGCCATCTCGCCCGCACCACCACCCCTGCTCTCTCTCTCTCTCTAGTTCTCGGTCAGGGTCAGGGTCAGGGTCAGTGTCAGTGCCAGAACCAACCCATGGGATCCACTACCCAGTATATTTTGATTGTTTGGGTTTGGAGCAGAGGAAGTGCGTGCGTGAGTGAGTGAGTGAGCAAGACGCTGGTGCGGAGGGGTGGTCTGCGCTGCGCTGCTCTGCTCTGCGGACTGGACTGGACTGTGATGGTAGGAGTAGATGCGCGGGTGTGGGGGTGGGCTTGGTTTCGTGAGCGTGGGTGTGTTTGGTTTGACTTGGCTGGCTATGCATGTGGTGGCAGTGGCGTTTAGATTTAGACGGTCGTGGAAAGACTGCGTGCTGTACTTTTTTGTTGCTGTTTTGTACATACGCCTAGCTTTCATTTTGGATTCTTGTATATATCCCGGCTTTGGCATGCACCTCTGTGCCCTGCCTCCTTCCTCTCCGCTCCCTCCCCCCACAATTTAGTCCACTCACCAACCCTACTGCTTCTTTGCCTCCCTCTCCGCCTTCCTCAACGCCCTCTTCCTAATATCCGCATGCATGCCCAAATTAATCCCCAGCGTAAGCTTATTCATCGTGCCTGCAACAGTCGCAATAGCATAATGCAGCAGTCCATGGCTCCAAAACGGGGTGCTGGTATACGCAATACCCTGGGCACCACCAGAACGGCCAATCTTACCCAGCGCGGCGCGCACAAACGCCTTGGGCGTGGGGATCATGGCCGACGCGCGGCGGACCTTGCTCATGGCGCTGGTGACGAGGTAGGACTGGACGAGCTGGACGCGCACGCCCGAGGGCGCAAGCTCCGCGCCCAGCGCGCTCGACCAGTTCTGCAGAAACGCCTTGGAGCCGCTGTAGGTCGCGAGCAGGGGCGTCGGCAGCACGCCCCCGAACGACGCCATCGTGAGGATGAGGCCGCGCTTGCGGGCGACGAGCCGCGGCGCCACGGCCTGCGTGACGCGCAGCGTGCCGACGCAGTTGATGGTGATGATGTCGCGCATTTCGGCGAGGGGCGTCTGCAGGAACGGCACGGGGATGCTGTGGGACAGGCCGACGTTGTTGACGAGGATGCTGACGTCGAGGTCCTTGACTGCGGCTTCGACGCGCGCGTAGTCCGCGTCGTTGTTCGCCGCGAAGTCCATTGCCAGCGTCGAGGCTTTGACGCCCGGGTTCGCGGCTTCGATTTCCTGCGCTAGCGCGTCCAGCTTGCTCTGGGTGCGCGAGATCAACAGCACGTTGAAGCCTTTGCGCGCGAGCTGCTGCGCGTATTCTTTGCCGATGCCGTCCGAGGCGCCCGTGACGACGGCCCAGGAGCCCTTGGGGCCGAACTTGGAGAGCTGTGCGTGTGTCGGTTAGCTACCTGGTTGTCTGGGATTGGATGGCTGGTGTTGCGTGGGGGACTCACAGAAGTGCCGGGCAGAATGAACAGCGAGAACAGGACGCGGACGAAGTTGAAGGCCTTGGTGAAGACGAAGGCGGCGCCGACGGCGGCCAGGCCCAGGACGACGGCCGGTGGGAGGTGGAGGTGCGTGGCCATGGTGAAAGGTGGTGGTGACGAGGGTGATGCTTGAGCGTCGCGGTTGGGGAACTTTTGGCAGCGGGGAGGATGCAAGGATCACAACGCGAGCTCGGGGGAGCGATCAGCTTCAATCACTCGACTGAAAGAGGAATCCAGAAAGCCATTGCCTATAATCAATTGAACCAATTGATCCCTCTAGCTCCTGTGCCAATCTCATAAAGTGTCCCATTTTGCATCTGCATCTGCTCCGCGCCCTTGATGCAACGTTAAGCTCAGGCCATGCCGTCAACATCCCCATCTCACCACCACCGTGCTCTCCTCCGCAACACCTTCCAGCTCCCCCTAGCCTAACCAACTTTACCTGAATTACCTGAACAATCCGCCAACCATGTCGTCACTCCTAGCCTACCTGCCCCAAGACGAGGGTTTCCTGCCCAAGTGGCTCTTCTTCGTACGCGCATCCATCTCCATGCACACCCCCCAAAGCACACCACTCCAGCACAAGCACTAACGACCACCCCTCGCACCAGATCGGCATAACCGCCGTGGGCAACCTCGTCCAAGCCTACCGCACCCTGCACTTCACGTCGCAAGTGTACCTGCAGCCGACAACGAACAAAACGCCCACGACACCGGGCCTGGCCTTCCCCTCGCAGACGACGGCGCTGCACAGCCGCACCTTCGGCACCTGGACCCTCCTGCAAGGCCTCGTGCGCCTGTACGCCTCGTACAACGTCCACGACGCCCGCTTGTACCAGCTCGCCCTCCTCACCAACCTCGTCGCCCTCTGGCACTTTGGCTCCGAGTGGTGCTGCTTCCGCACTACCAGCTGGAACAAGGGCCTTGCTGGCCCCGTCATTGTTAGCATTGGCACGAGCATCTGGATGGTCCTGCAGTATGGCGCCTATGTGCAGAACTAGAGATATATTGAGTCGTTGGATTGGGGGGTGCTGTCGTCTTCGTTGCTTGGTCTAGATTTCCCCGTCTATCGCCGCGAGGCTCGCCATGTATAGAACCGTGATCAACATGTAACTGAATCCAGCTCCAGCTCAGCAACCCTGCTTGTTGCCGCATCTACCGATAATCGATTCTTTGTAAACATTAGGCTAGTCGAGCTTCCTCCGGTACAGCTCGCCGGCGCAGTTGCGCAGTCGGGCGGCCGCTTGCTCTGGCGTGATGTCACGTTGCGGCTCAGCCATCATCTCGTAGCTATACTTGATGTCAGCCATGTCTTCGTCCAAGCTCACGAGGATAAACTTACCCAACGAGGAACTTGCGCACCGAAGCGCTACGCAGCAAAGGCGGGTAAAAGTGAATGTGGAAGTGACTGGCCTCGATTTCCTCCTTCGTGCCCTCCAGCGGTGCTTGGTGCAGACCCATGCCTAAACACGGTTAATTTCGTTCTCATGTGTCACCAGTGACAGAAAAGGGGGTGTGTCTTACTGTAAGGAAATTGCGTCTCGAACAAGTTGTCGTACCGCCTCGTCACCTCCGCCATGGCTTCAGCCAGCTGCGCCCTCTCTTTGTCGTCGAAATCGACCAGCGCTCTCTTGTGCGCCTTGCTCACAATCATGACCTCAAACGGCCAGACGGCCCACCAGGGGCACACCGCCAGGAAGCTCTCGTTCTCAAAGACAGTGCGCTCGCCCTTCTTGGCCTCAAGCGTGCAGTAATCCTCCAGCATGTTTGCCCCACCCTGCTCGCGGCGGTACTTTTGCAGCTGCGTGAGCTCGAGCGATGGCTCTTCGGGGAGACCGGTCGTCACCCAGACTTGGCCGTGGGGATGCGGATTCGAGCAGCCCATGGCTGCGCCCTTGTTCTCGAAGATCTGCATGTAGCGCAGCTGCTTATTCGGCTTCGCGAGGGCCTCGCCGTTGTGGCTCAGCGGGGCTAGCGTCGTCGCGCTGGCGACTTGGGCAAGCGGCGAGTTTGGCGACAAATGGGCTGTATAGAGCTTGGTCCAGGTCTCGATAACAGGGACGATTTGTGCCGGTTTGAGGTCCGCTAATGTCAGGTTGTGAGAGGGCGAGAAGGTAATGACATAGCATTTGCCCGTCACGGGCTCAACTTGTAGGAGTCTCTTTTCGAGGCTGCCATCCTGGTCGCCAGAGTGGTATTCCGCTTGCTCTTCTTTGACCGCACTGTAGTCGTTGACGAAGACGTAGGTGCTTTCATACTTTGGGTTTTCGTCGCCTTGCGCGCGCTTGTTGCCCGGACAGAGATAGCACTAGACATGCTGTCAGCGCATATGCACCACTGGCAGCTTAAAGGCATTCGGGAAATTCTGATATTGCAAGATATAGCTGTTTGCAATGTAAAGGGAGCGAACTCACCGAAGGGTCGTACTCAGGCAGAGTCGTTTTACTGGCAGCCTCCTGTTGTCCCTGCCATGGCCTCTTTGTCCGGTGAGGCGAAACAAGGATCCAATTGCCGCGCAGCGGGTTATACCGCCTGTGTGAAATGTCGTTGAGGACCTCGTCCGTCATGATAATGGGAGTGGGCTGAGATATCGGAGTGAGATGTCTGCAGGGGAGCGATCAACGTTGTCCCGCGAAAGGTCACGGCTGGTGTCGGGGAGAGAGAAGAGTGAGAGGGCAAGAGGAATAAAGGGAAGGCTGAATTAGCGGTTAAATAATCTCCGCTGATACGAAAATCCTGCACAGGAGCATTGCGAAGTAGCATCCCGCACAACCGCGTGATCCACCACGGCGTCGGTGCGTGCGCCTTGCGGGGTCTCCAGACAATCATTCGGCAGGTTCAGAACAGAGAACAGGCAAGGGAAATGATTGCATATAGCCGGACACCAGAGAGAAACATACATAGGGCATTTATGCACAATTTAAGGAAAATCACTTACATGGTCACTTTAGCAAAGCTGCAGTAATGCGCGGGTTCAAAAATCTGGAATGACGTGAGACGGTCAACGAGGGGCAAGGCGGAGCGGGGCGGCCTGGCGGCGGCGCCCACCGGAAAAATGCCGGCGCCGGCGGCGTAAGGCATCCGCCCGGGCGCCTCAGGCTGAAGCTCCGACTCTCCGAGCTGCGGTCTTGGGCGGGAAACGTGTATCGTAGCTCTTACGCGTACGCAAGCCTGCCGGACAATTCCACTCTCAAGCAACCACCCAGTGCGCGCAAACATGGCCGGCATGATGCCCAGCTCCAACACGACCTCCGCAAACCCCTACGAGCACTATGACAACGATGCTCTGGAGCGCGACCAGATGATCGACCCTGACGATGGTACGTCTGGACCAAACTCCGGTTCGCAGTAGTCATTGACCTCTGTCATAGCTGCCTTGGACGACCTCGACGACCCTTTGCAGACCTCGACGTCTGATCGCGCTCCCCTCACCGGCAACATCGCCTCTCAGTCCACCAACCGGGACACCCAGAACTACCTCACCTCCAGCATCCCTGGAGAGGACCGCCGCGCCCCTACCAACACGCTCGACGAGACCGTCTGGCAGACATTGTCAAGAGACCTGTTCGCAGTATGGGAGAAGATGAAGCAAGTCCTGTGGCCCAAGTATCTGCTTGGCGGAATGCTGCAACGCGGTGGTGGCATGGGAGCCGAGGAGCGCGGAGAAGGTGCTGCTGGCGCAATGAGGGGCATGGTCGGGCGCTGGCCCGATGCGGATGCTGTTTTGCACGGAAGCATGAGCGAGGGCCTCCGCGACTGGGATCTGTGGGGGCCTTTGGTCTTCTGCCTGCTCCTCAGCTTGTTCCTGTCCAGGGGTGCGCAGGACAAGCAAAAGTCATTGGTATTTTCTGGTGTCTTTGCTATGGTATGGATCGGAGAGGCTGCTGTCACGCTGCAAATCAAGCTTCTCGGCGGAAGCATGTGAGTACATCCTAAGTTGATCATTATGTGCATTTACTGATCGACCATCAGCTCCTTCTTCCAGTCGGTATGCATCATCGGCTACACTCTCTTCCCGCTCGTCATTGCCTCTTTGTTGAGCGCACTGAATCTTCCTACGATTGCGCGGATACCGACCTACATTGCCCTCGTGGCCTGGTCGCTTGCTGCTGGCGTGAGCATCTTGGGCGGCTCCGGCGTTGTGCGTAACCGCGTTGGTATCGCAGTGTACCCGCTGTTCGTCTTCTACGTCAGCCTGGGGTGCCTCTGTTTCATTAGCTAGGAAGTTGCCGATGGGAGTATTTCGTTTTATCATTTCAGCAGGCTGTCTTACGAATACCCTTCGGCAGTCCGTTTTCGTAGGGCTGCAGCGGGTTTTGCAGGGTTTCAGGCTTCCTCTAGTGTATCAGTGACGCGAGGCGTCTTGTATTAACAGGTTCCTGGGACTCGGGTTGCATGGGAGCGCGCTTCCTGCTGCGTATAGCCGCGGGCGTGAAATTGCTGGAAACATCGAGTGCTAGTCGCCCCCGTAAACCATAGTTGCCATGAACCTGTGCAAGCTGCGGCCCATTCGTGATCATATCTCAGCAGCAATTGAGCGCCTCAGGCAGAATCTCCTTCGAACGTCGATGGTCGAGTAATTGCCTACTACTGCTAGCGGCTTCCACCCGACCCCACCACAGCCCAGCTCTACCCTTAGCTCAACGCTCTCGCTCGACAGCTGATACACGCGATATTGATTGCCCTGCTTTCGCGCATCGCGGTCTCACTTATCCGCACCCCTTCAGCCACTAGGACCCCACCTTTGCCGCCCTGTGTACAGCGAAGCAGTGAACGACACATCTGCCGACAGCAGACAACCCAGTCGGCGCGTCGACGAATCTCGCCGCCCGTCTCCGTCATCGTCAAGGCTGCCCAGTCTTTGACAACTCTGTTACTCCTGCGCATCTCCACCTTGCGGTGAATTTACCACCTCCGCGGTTACTGCAGATCTCATCGCGGGCCTTTGTCTTAGCGGCGTCTGCCAAGCGTTCGTGTTGCCTTTCCACCGACACCCACAGACCGAGACACTGATCTGCGCAATCGAAATAGCTTCGATCTCAAGCCTTAGCGCATCGTCTCCTCCGACGGCGAAGAGACGGCGAATCACGTCCTCGGCGGCACCAGCTCACGCACGCGCAATCGTTATTTTGGATGAGCCTTGGGTTTATCTCCTTTGCTTCTGCAGCATATTAGACGTACGCACGGCATAGCAATGACGAACTTCACCGAACGCGAAAACGCGGCGCCGAGCGCTGAACCGAAAATCACCCCCGCCGACAGAACCGACTCTTCAGCATCGCTCAAGAGCCTCGGCAACGCCAGTGATACCGAAAGCGCGGAACGCCCTGTGCGCGAAAAGTTGCGGAACACGTCGATTGCCGGCGTGAAGGATTTGGAAGCATCCACAGAGCTGGAAATGACAGGCACCGACAATGGTGACCTTGCCGGAGAGAAGGGCGAGGATGACCGTGGCCGTGTAAGGAGGAAGAGAAGCCACGAAGAGGTCGAAAAAGGCAAGAGCGACGAGCTCAAGGTTGAGAAGCAAGGCAGGAAGCGGTCGAGGGACCTCACAATGAGCGGCACAGAGCCCGAGGGTACGAGGCGCAAGACTGCCGGCGAGAACAACACCAACGAAACCACCGAGGATGGTCCACCCGCGAAGCGATCGCGCACCCCCACTGAAGCGGAGACTCAGTCACAAAAGAACGGGTTGATGAGCCCCAAGGGCAAGCGTGGCCGTGAGGAATTCGAGGCTGAAGAAGGCAGTAACGCCATGGCTCCCGAGGTAAAAGACCCCCCGGCAAGCTCTTCAGCAAAGCAAGATACCGATGAGACCACCGACAAGGCCAAGAAGGCCAAGTCCAAGCGTACCAGGGAGAGCAACAGCCCTGAACCTAAGTCTGACGGGGCCAAGCGCACTGATACCAAGGTTGGTGGTGAAGAAGCCATTTTCTGAGGAGTGAAACTGGATGTTAATGTGACTAGGCGCAGATCCCGCAGGGCAGCGGCTTTTCAAACACTTCTGCAGTTTCTCCATTTGCCGCTTTGGCAAGCAGCAAGTCTCCTACTCCGACTACGGCGGCACCTCAACCGCAGACCTCCGATAGTGCTTTCAAGTCCTCAGGCTTCAGCGCACTTGCCGGCTCTACCACGTCTGGCTTCGGCGCTCTCGGTGCCGCTGCCACCAAGCCTACTGCTAGTGTCTTCGGAGGTGCGGCTTCCACTCCTAGGCCTGCAATTACCGGCCTCGGCAACAGCGGTTCGCAATCGCCATTTGGTGGCCTTTCTTCTACCGAAACCAAGTCCCCATTCGCAAGTGCTGGCGCGTCTGCCTTTGGCAGGCTGGGTGGGGGCTTTGGTGGCGGACTTGGAAGCAGCTTCGCCGGTGGCAGTGGTCCGAAGCTGAGCAGTTTTGGTGGTGGCAGCGGCCCGAAGATTACGGGCTTGAGTGACAAGCCAGCCAAGCCTTTTGGCGCCCCCGCCGATGAGGATGAAGGTTCTGGCGAAGAGGGCGAGGCCGAAAAAGTGTTGAGCCCCACAAATGAGGAAGACCACAAGGACGAACGCTTCTTCGAGCAGGATGGTACGTGTTTGCAAACGAGACGTTGGGTGGACAAAGCTGATACAGTAGATGACGCAGTCGAGACCGGCGAAGAGCACGAAGAAACCGTTTTCGTCTGCCGTGCCAAGCTGTACAACTTCGTTGCCGTCACAGAAAGCAAGAAAGAGTGGAAGGAACGTGGTCTTGGCAACTTGAAGCTCAACGTCATGAAGCCCGAGGAAGCCGACGGCAAGAAGAAGGCACGCTTCGTCATGCGTTCGGATGGTTCCCATCGTGTGGCCCTCAACAGCCCTGTCCAGAAGGAGCTCAAGGTCGGCGATGTCAAGGGTGGCAAGCCTAGCAACGGCTACGTCTTCTTCATGGGCTCTTTGGCTGATGGCCAAGGCCAGTTGGAGCTACTGCAGCTCAAGGTATGCTTAGCCGCACCGGTAGGCTTTGACGATATGGCTGACAAACATGCAGATGAAGCAACCCAACGCCGAGGCTCTGTGGGACAAGGTCCAGGAGCTGCAACAGGAGATGTAGATTTCCACATCCAACCAGAAAGGTCTCTCCCCTCTCCACTACGTACAATCCTATTAAGATTACTTTCCCCCCACCGATGATCGCCTCCTACCTACGGTCACTACCGTCCAACCTAATTCTTCGCTTCGGCTCATTTTTCCTCTGGATGCGTTCCGTCGAGCATCCTTCAGTAGTCATCAACAACACACCAAGCTGAATTGAAGACAAGCAAGCACCAAATCAAAGACATTTGCAAAAGCCGCATCAGGTTTCAGGGATTGCGAGAAAGCATTCCGATCCAGCAAGCCGCAGGAGAGGTTGCTGGCATATGCATCTAGATGCGTCTAGATCTACACACGACGGAACGAATGCGTTGAATAGGATGACGGGCGGGAATTTTGCTGCACTCTTCTTTTTTGCTTTCCTCTATTCCTTTTCCCTCCGTTAAAAAGAGCATATGGAGCGAGCGCTGGTGAGGGACGAAGCAGGGCATTGGCAGGGGAGTGTAATGAGTCGAGGGGTTGGACATAGTTAGGTTGCTGCGGAGAAGTGTACACTGCGTAGGTTGAATAAAACGACCCCCAGAGCATTTTGCATCTATATTTGCCTGCCTGCTTGCTTGACTTCCTTTCATGATCGTGGCCGGGCTGGGCTGTGATATCGCAATGAGGAACCAACCCCGCACACAGCCGAAAACCATTAGTTATCGTCTGATAGAATCAAAGTCTTCATTTTATGCCTCGTCGCCATTTTCTGGCAGCTCGCAGCATTACCAAACCACGGGCACCCGCCAGGCCGCCCACCTTCCCCATCCGTCGCCCGGCACGTGACGGCCCCGCGCGCGCGCCCCGGCGGCCGGCTCCGAAGCATCGGCCACTGCTCTCGCTCGTAACATCGACCGCACAGGCCCGGCCCAGCACACACTAGCAGCCAGTCAGTCAGTCAGCAGGCGTATCTTCTCTTTTCTCCTCCGCAGCGCTTGCCTCGGAAGAGAACCAAAACAGAAAGCTACCTCCCTGCCTGCCTTGCTCTCGAAGGTGGGTTGTTGATGAGCTGGTCGTTGCTGTCGTTGCCTTCGTCGCGCTTCGTCGTTCCCCGCTGCTTGGGCTCTTGCTCCAAAGTCACGAGCTCTTTCGTTAAGAACTCTTACTTCGCGGGCTCCTACGTCAAGAGCTCCTACGTCGCGGCTCCGCTTAGAAGGTTCGCGATCATGCATAAGTCGCCTGCGGCTTTGGTGGAGCGGCTCCCGCCCAAGGGACTCGAGATCCATGCGCCGAGGGATCCAAATACGTTGGCGAATTATAATAAGTGAGTTGCTCTTTTTTTCTCTGGGGTTTTGGGTTGGGGAGAGGGGGTGGTAGTTGGGGCAGCGTCTGCTGATGTGAGAAGATGTTGGCTGGTTGGGGGGTTGGTGAGGTGTGGTGAGTTGAGTGTAGGGTGTGGTTGTGGTTGTTGCTGAGGAGAGAAGCAAGGAGGAACGTGCTAATGCCGTGGTGTGGTAGCTTTTTGACGACGCATACGACGGCGAACTTGGAGATCGACTTTGAGAAGAGGAGGCTTTTGGGTAATGTGGTGCTTTTGCTGAAGAGCATTACTAATGGCGAAGCCGACAAGGTCGTCTTGGACACGAGGTTTGTGGTTTCTTTTCTCCGTTTTTTTATGGTTCTGTTTGGGTGAAGTTGTGCGGCTGTGGCCTTGCACATGGATATGCTGCTCCGCTGGGTTACAGGGTTTCTTATTTTCCAGTCTCCGTTACTCTTCTTTTGGCACGTGCAAAGCTGCAAACGTTCGCACATAGCTTCTTTTTTTCAAGAAGCCTTTCATCTATTTACTTCGTTCAATACTAATTCTGGACCAGTTTCTTGGACATCAAGGATGTTAAGGTTGATGGCGAGAAGGCAAAATGGGCTCTTGCGGATCGCATGGAGCCTTACGGAAGTGCCTTGTCCATCCAACTTGGCGGTGGTGTTGAGAAAGATAAGCAGATTGCAGTCGATGTATGTTTCCCTGTTATCGTTGGCCACCAATGTTGAAGCTAACGTCAATTTCCAGATTGCTTTGAGCACCACGGACCAGTGCACTGCTTTGCAATGGATGACCCCGGCGCAGACGCCGAACAAGAAGCACCCGTACATGTGTAAGTCTTCAAACATTATGGTCGAGAAATTCGTTATTGATTCCGAACTTAGTCTCGCAGTGCCAGGCTATCCACGCCCGTTCCATCTTCCCTTGCCAAGATACGCCTGATGTTAAATCCACCGTGGACTTCAACATCCGGTCGCATCTTCCTGTGCTTGCCAGCGGTCTTCCAACTGGCACCAAGGACTTCCGCCCCGGAAAAGATGGCGCGCCCAGCACTCTTCTATACACCTTCAAGCAGGAAATCCCCATTCCCAGCTACCTCTTTGCCGTGGCGTCCGGCGACTTGGCCAGCGCCTCCATTGGACCTCGCAGCACGGTCTGGACCGGTCCCGAGGAGCTCATTGGCTGCAAGTGGGAGCTGGAGAACGACATGGAAAAGTTCCTCGAAGCTGCTGAGAAGATTGTTTATGAGTACGCTTGGACAACCTACAATGTGCTTGTTTTGCCCAACAGCTTCCCCTACGGCGGTATGGAGAATCCGATCTACACGTTTGCTACGCCCACTATCATCAGTGGCGACAAGCAGAACATCGATGTCATTGCGCACGAACTGGCCCACAGCTGGAGCGGCAACCTGGTCAGCAATGCCAGCTGGGAGCACTTCTGGTAGTGTTGTCTATTCATATAACATAACAAAAATTCGGCACTAACTTTCTGTAGGTTGAATGAAGGTTGGACCGTGTACCTTGAGCGTAGGATCCAGGCCGCGGTTCACGGCGAGGAGCACCGTGACTTCTCGGCGATTATCGGTTGGAAGGCCCTGCAGGACTCGGTTGAGCGTTTCGGTGAGGACCATGAGTTCACTAAGCTCATCGTCGATCTCAAAGGCAAGGATCCGGATGATGCATTCTCTTCCGTTCCCTACGAGAAGGGTTTCAACTTCCTTTACTACCTCGAAAAGCTCGTGGGTAAGGGCAAGTGGGACAAGTTCATTCCTCACGTAAGTTGTGCCACAGTTCTACAATGCATCAAACGGAACACTGACAATGATGAACTTTAGTATTTCGGCAAGTACAAGTTCAAGTCTCTTGACTCGTACGACTTCAAGTCCACCCTCCTTGACTTCTTCGCCTCCGACTCAGAGGCCAGCAAGAAGCTCAACGAACTGGACTGGGATAAGTGGTTCTATGCGCCGGGTTACCCCCCGAAGCCCGACTTTGACGACAGCCTGGTCAAGGTCTGCTACGAGCTGGCCGACAAGTGGCAAGCTCTTGCTCAGGGCAAGAGTGATGCATTCAAGCCCGCTCAGAGCGACATTGGCCCCTGGACCGGCAACCAGTGCGTCGTCTTCCTCGAGAAGATCCAGACGTGGGAGCAGCCCCTTCCCGTTGAGCTGGTCGACCTCATGGGCGCCACTTATGGGTTCGCTGCCTCGCAAAACGTGGAGCTGGTGTCACGCTACTTCATCATCGGCCTGAAGGCCAAGGCGTCGAGCGTGTACAAGCCCACGTCGGAGCTGCTGGGCAGAGTGGGTAGGATGAAGTTTGTCCGTCCCTTGTTCAGAGGTCTTAGGGATGCGGACAGGAAGCTGGCGGAGGAGACGTTTGAGAAGAACAAGGACTTCTATCACCCGATTTGCAGGCAGATGGTGGAGAAGGATCTGTACGGCGACAAGTAGGGACAGAAAAAAAAGAGAGCAGTCTTCTGACTGCATGTAAATAAAAACACGTTTGTGGCGTTAGTAGTGTGAAGAAAAGTTAGAGTTGGTGATGAGGGGGAGCGTGACGAAGGCTAGCTCGCCCCGGCCCCGCCTGGCGCCTGGCGCGATTCTCGACGCGTTCAACGACAGTGTATCCCTCACGACCCACTCAACCCCCCACAACAACCAACGCACCACCCGTAACCCGCGCATCGCTGTCCTCTCTCTACCACAAACCCACGCTCGCTACTCTGCGACGGTCTGCAGCGCCCGCACTCCGACAATGCCGCGCCCAAAGCGCACCAAGATCGCCACTGGCGCGTCTGTCGCGCCTGTCTCCGACGCGTCCGCCATCTCCCGAACCTCCAAATCCGCTCTCCCTTCCTCGGTCGCCCAAGTCGATGCGCAAGATGGCTCCGGCGGCGACAGTGATACGCTGCATGTCAAATCCCGGCCTGCCAGGGCAACAAGATCCACGCGCACGACGCGTCGCGGCGCCGCCGCCACCGCTGCGGAGCCGGCGCAAGCGGAGGACGTGATGATGACAGGTGCGCTGGAGCAAGGAGATGGCGAGAGCGCAAACAAGACGACGAAAGCTGCGCCGAAGAGAAACGTCAGGACGAGGGGCCGGATGGCGCCCAGGAAGACACTGGGCATGCAGGACGAGAAGGCGCTTCAGGCGCTGAAGAAGAGGAGAGACGAGGCTCTCAGGCAACAAAAAGGCGAGGGCGAGGCCTCCACGCCGATGAGCGCGGTCGCCAGATTGGCAGCGAGGAGGGCGAGCGCTGGGTCGAAGGAGGCGAGCTCGCCCGCTGTGCAGCGCCCTGCAAAGGACGTGACGACCACTTCGCCGGCGTTCAAATCGGTCCAGCGCAATAGCGACGTGATTATTTCGTCGCCCGAGCGGCCTGCTGTCCCCCGGTCGGCCATGAAACCTCCTTCATCTGCGGTCAAGGCCCAAGGCACGCCCGCCGTCGAGACGTCGGTTCTCGCGCTCTCGAAATTCAAGCGCCGCCCTCGCCAGCCGAGCATTCTGCGCATGGTGCAGCAGAAAAGCGACCACGAGCAAGACGATGACAATGAGGAGACGCTGGGAGATTTTGACTTCGCTCCGGATGATGAGAGCACGCCGCTGAAGCTGAATCTCAAGGGTGCGGCGCGCAGGAGTCTGGGTACTACGCCTGGTGCACGTTCTGAGATAGAGCCACCTACGTCCAGCTCACGGAAGCGCAAGCTGAGGTCAGCACCTGAGCCCGAACAGGAAGAGCAGCAAGAGCCAGAGGAGCAAGAAGAGCCGCAGGAGCAAGAAGAGGCGGAAGAGCCAGAGGAGCCACTGGAACAGGAAGAATCAGAAATCCAAGTGCCACGCTCAAGCCCGCCGATCATAGAGCGCCCACCCGCACCTACGCGCGAGCTAGAAGACACGGACGACGAGCACCTGTACTCTGATGTGAGCGACCTTCCGCAGCAAGTGGTCAAGGACACGCAGGACCGGCTCGAGGAAAAACAGCAACAAGTGGGTGACAAAACCCCAGAGATCTACAGCTCCACAATGGCGCCACCGAAATCAACAAGCTCACTGAGCGACGACTACCGCCAGTCGCACGAAGCCGAAGAACTCCCCGACACGCGACGCCGCCGGCAGCCAGCGCGCGCCCGCAACCGCACGCGCACCTACGACGAGTCTCCCGAGGAGGACTCTTCCGCCTCAGAAGAAGACGAAACAACGCCCGTCCAAAAGAAGTCCAAGAAACCCACCCGCGCATCCAAGAAAGACAACACCAAGCCCCAAGCCCTCTCGACCGCCACGCTACAGGCGCTCCTCCCCCGCCGCCGCCCCACAGCCAAGCGCAACCAACAACCCGACACCTTCGACATCCCCAGCTCCGACAGCATCGAGGTCCGCGTCCTCAGCAGCGACGAAGACGAACTCCAGCACGACCCGCCGCGCCGCGGCCGCTCCGGCAGGAGCAAGGCGCCCTCCACCACCGCGGGCACGAAAAAAGGCAGCAAGCATGCGCAGGCGCAGGCGCAGAAGCAGGCAGTGGAGGCGTCGCGCCCGCGCAAGACATACGGCCGGCGCTCGTCGGACAAGGAGAACGCGGCGGGCGGGGGCAAGGGCGGTCGCGGTCGCGGTCACGGTCGCGCTGCTGATGAAGCTGAGGAAGCAGCGGAAGCGCAAGATGACGACGACGACGACGAGGAGGGCGAAGAAACGGAGACGCCGCTCCGGCGCCACCACGGGGGCCGCCAGCGCGCTGCTGGCGAGCGGAGCAAGGAGCTGGATGCTGCGGCGAGGAAGTTCGCCGAGATTGATACGTGGGAGATGGAGTTTGAGAGCGTGGATTTAGGCGCGAGTGCTAGTAGTCCGTGGCGGTGAGGTGTTGGATGGGGGAGAGGGAACTGGGTGAGATTGGGTGGGGTTGGGGTTGTTTGACGAGGGTATGGCGTTCGGGTATGCGGTATGATGTACGGATACGGGCGGGGCCACACGTGGCGTTTCTTTCTTTCCAAGTGTGTATAGTACTACAGTATGCGCTAAGCAGGCAGGCAGAGTGTTAGGCACCCTCATCGCTTGGCTGCAACTGCAAACGCCCAACCCGGACTGTACATTCTTACGAGCCGTCTCCTGCTTCACTGAACATGGAACTGTTACTTTGAAATCTGTGCGTGGGCGTTGGCTGCAGTCTACTTGCTGTACTGTGCTGTGCTGTGCTGTGCCGTAGACTTCTGCTGTAATGTAACATGGCATGGTGGCTGATGTGCCTGCTGTGTGTTTGAGGTAGGTAGGTACGGCCTGCGAGCTTCGGGGTAATTAATAGCGCTTTATTTTTAGCTTTGCTCTCGGTCTTGGTCTCAGATTCAAGAGACACACACACGGACTGACTGCAGCAACACTACACTACAGCCACTGCTGCTGTCTACTGAGGCTTCAGTGGCTACCGCGGCTGACGCGGATGAACAACCAGTATGCATGTCCGGAGCGTCGGTTGCGGTTTTGAGGGCAGGGTTCTGGAAGAGGGGGTTTGTGATGGTGGTGTGGTGGTGATGGTGTGCGTTGGGGAGATGGGTTGGTGGTGGACTGCGTGTGGTGGGGAGGGTGGTGAGTAGTGCTGGGGGTGGGTGATGGTTGTTGTCGATGTTGTTATCTTGCGAGGGGGGCGATTACTCTGGCTGAGCGGACTTGATGGCTGCTTGTTAGGCGGGTCGTTGGTTATGTGTGCGATGTGGATGGAGCTACTGTCGAACTCCGCCAGGCCTGACACCGAAAATACCATTCCGTGGTAGCAGACTCGCAGGCGTAGCGTGGTTGAGTAGTGAAATAATTTGCTGGACGTCGCAGCTGGGGTTGGGTGTGTGCGGCTGAGTTGTGACCGGACTGTATACACGTGTAGCGTATGTGTGGACTGTGGACGAAGTCAGATATTGACATCACCGGCAGGCTCACTCTCTAGTGAAGGAGGCCAGAGGGTTGAAAACTTGTCAAGAAGCCAAGCAGGCAAGCCAACGGCATCGTCTGATAGAGTGCCAAACACGGCAGCGTGGACAGAGAGAGAGCCAGCTTGGCCTAAACCGTCCAGTGTATGACGACTCGAAAACGACACGATAACCGCTGATGCCTATCATCGTAGGCGTCGATCCCCTCCCCCCGGGCCCTCGCTCCCCCTCGGGCGGGGTACACAAGGGCAGCGGATCGACGGGCGCGCAGATCCCAGGAGTGAGGCGCGCGATGAGGCTAGAGCTCCAGCGGACCATGGCAGCGTACATACCACGTGTGTACTCCGTACCTGGGGGCTGTTTCAGCGGGGGCAGGACGCAGAAATGATCTTCGCTCGCAAGCACTCCGTAGTTGGAGAGGCTAAAAAAGAAAAAAAAAGAAAAAAAAAGAAAAAAAAAAGAAAAAAAAAAGTGATGGTAACCGGTTGTTCTCCTCCTCCTACTACTACGATACGGAGTTGACTGCGGCCTGCTTTCTTGTGCTACAGTACAGGTTTTGCAACCACGGTTGTTGTGCAGCTGGATAATGAATGGGGGTCAGTGAGGATCGAATCCATTGCGTGGGTCGTTCGGGTCTGTCCGCTGCACGAAGACTGCGCATGCAGCGTTCTGATACACGATGTTCCGATGGGGGGTTCAGATGGTTGTTCAAGGGACAGAGAGAGAGGTTGCTTTTGCGCCAATGTACGGAGTATGTATGTCGTCAGCCTTCAGCAAAGCTGCCTTGCGCGTATGAGCCTAGAACGGGCGATAGATCGCTCAGCACGTCCACGTGCCTGACATGTGTATTTGCACTCCCGCACGATAAGAAGCTAGCTGGTCGCGATAGGAGTAGGTCGCGAGAGGTGGGTTTATGCTTTGCATATTGCTCAAGCTCGACACGACACAATAAGCAAGCGTTCGCGTAGCAGGATCTGCATTGGCGCTGCGAGCAACGAACGACGTTTGTGCGGTGTCGCGGCGGAAATTGAGTGGACGGGGCAGCAGGGCAGGCAGGCAGTCGCCGAGGGTGCTGAGAACGAGCAAGGAAGCAGCGAGCGCACGGCGCTTGGAGCCTCGCATGCCAGACCTAGTCAGTACTGTATGTAGGACCGCGTTCAAAATCAATACCTCTCCTACCATTGCCCGTCTGGGATCCTACCCGGCGGGCCCCGTCGATCATCCGTGCCCCGACGTCAACAACCTCCATCCAACCTCCATCCATTGATCGCATCCCCCCACCCCATCCCATCCCATCGTATCCCGTCCTTTCCCACCCCAACCAATAGTTACGACCCCGTCCCACCGCGCCTCACAGCACCATAAACAGGTGCAATCTCCGCGCCGACCAGGCCACGCCTGCCAGCCTGCCGTGCGACGACAAGGATCCCGCCCAATGAGCACCGCGCAAATCCGGCGCAGATAACTACCCCTAGGAGCAACTGACTGTCTGCGCGCTATCCATGCAATGCTATGCTATGCGCGCAATCGTGCTCGCCGCGGAGCACACTCCCTGAAGCACGTTAGGGCGGGCGTCTGCGGCCGATCGTCCCGCTGCGCTGGTGCTGGGGCGCTCTTTGCTGTAGGCTGCTGGTGTCGTGCAGGACGTAGGTAGGGGTGCCTGCTCTGCTCTGCTCGTATTGTTGTCGTTGGCCTTGGCCGCGAGAATGGGGGTTGGTGTAAGTAGGTAATTATACCTCGCAAGCTGCGGATCGCACCGCCGGCTCCGTTTCAACGCCTCCCGCTCCTCGGGAGATCAGCGGATAGTCGGATGTACAACGACCTAGCGAGATGGGCGGGGACATGGGGATGTGGGGACGTTCCGACGAGCCTAAAGCCTAGGTGCTGCGACTCTACTCTTCCTCTCCGCTTCTCTCGCCCTCTGCTTGCTTCCGCTTCGCCCGCTGACTACCTACTGCCAGCCAAGATGGAAGACCATCGCTGGCTCATCCTGATGATAGTCGGCTTGTCGTTGGCGTTGACGCTGCCGGCTTTTCTGCTGCGCACTTGGATGACGTATAAGCAGTTGAGGCCGCTTGGGCTTGATGACTTGACTGTCTTTGTTGCTACTGTATGTCTGCGCAGTTCTCCTAGTTTTTCTCTCTCTTCTATTGGCTGGCCAATCTGGTCGTTTCTACACCTCGAGACCTAACATGCGAAGCGTTTTATCTTTCAGCACTCTGCAATCCTCTTGTCTACATGAAAATTGCAGATCAAACACTGATCACACACACTCAGTTACTCTATCTAGCATTCGTTTGCTGCCTCGTTGCCGCCTGCCTAAACGGCTTCGGAGCGCACACAAACGACCTCCACATCACCACGGCCAACTTCACAGACGGCGGCACCGCCAACAACGGCGATGTCGAAGAAGCCCTCAGAGTACGTTGTGTTGCGTTACGTTACGTTCCTCCGCCCCAACAAAAGCCCTTTTTTTTTT